GCGGCAGCTTCAGAAAAGGCAGCGGCAGAGGAGTGCAAGAACAGTGGCGACGAAAAAGCGGAGCAGAAGAATAAAAAGGAGAAGAAGGAAAAGAAGGACAAGAAGCGCAAGAAGGACGCAGACAAGGAGAAGAAGGACGCGGTCGACAAAGACAAGAAAAAAAAGAAGCACAAGGAGGAGGGCAAGACAGACAAGAAGAAACAAGCCAAGGAACGCAAAGGAGACCCGGAGGAGACAGCCGCTGACAAGGCGCCTGTGGCAGCAGCCACCGCCGGCCCCAAGTCCAAGGCAGAGGCCAAGGCCAAGGCCAAGGCAAAGGCCACGGCCAAGGCAGGTGCCGCCAGGAAGAGGAAAGCCGGCTAAGCCGTGGTCACGCCCTGTTCTACTTCTGACGCGCCCAGTAGCGTAGCCCTAGAGTTCCTGAAAGAGTGCGCAGGCAGTGCAAAACGGTAGTCGGCCGCTGCGTGCTTGGCTAGCTAGGCTTGGGTCTCAACGCTGGGTAGTGGCAGTTTTGGGGTCCCAACAACGCATACGCCCAAGGTGCGCAAGGCTTCGGGCTTTCTAGGGCTTGGGGCAGCCCAGGGTTTTGTTTGACGGTGAAACCGCTAAGGGTGAGAGGGCGTCTCCTTACGGTTGGTTTGTTGGCTTCTGCGCAAGTTTGTAACCCACGCACTTTGTTCCGCTGCTTTGCTTCAGGTGTGGCTCGCGCGTTCTCTGTAGTCTTAGTCTTCAGGCTTTGTCGGTCTAGTAGGGCGGGCCGGTAGCTTTCATGGCTGAGCTGCCTGAAGCTCAGGCACCCAAACGGGCCCGCACCTTGAAGCAGCAGAAGTCCGAGTCGTTGAACATAGACCAGCAGGCTGCGGCTTTCAGCCGGGTGTTGGATGCAGAAGGCCTGGTAGATGGCACTTTGTTGCCACAGCTGGCTCGGGAGAACCTTGCGGGCTTTGCCCAAGTCTTGCAGCAAGAGAGCGCGCCGAGGCCGGACAAGGTAACTTTGACCTGGGCATCTGCGTGCTCAGGTACTGAGGGCGCCTTTTACGTTGCGATGGCCATCAACGCTGCCCTTGGCCGTGGCGCGCGCCAAGACATCGCTGCAGCATGTCTTCTCATGCGAGGCAAATAAAGACAAGCAGCGATGGATCTCTGCAGTCTTGTCAGCCGGCAAGGCAAGCTGGGCAGGGCTTGATGACTTTGAGCCAGATGCGGGTTGCTCTGACGGGGAGACGTCCCGCTCCGATGCCACCACAATGGGGCTGCCAGGCGCTGACCTGGACTCCGACCCGGGCCGGTGATGCTTGCATCTTCGCAGACATCGGGCAGCTTGGTGAGGCAGCCGGGCACTGCGTGGTGCATGACAAAGACTGCCCCATTCCCCGGGTGGACATCTTTGTTGTTGGAACGTCTTGCAAGGACTTAAGCAGGGCAAACCCCTCGAAAGACAACACCAAGTTGGTCTTAGACCAAGTCAGCAGCCGAGGGGGCTCGGCCCAAACGTTTCAAGGGTTCGTGGCATATGTGAGGCAGCACGGCCCCAGCATGATCGTCTACGAGAACGTGGACTCAATCGACGACGCCATCCCGCAGTCCCAGCAGAACAACCTCCAGCACCTCATGGAGACCATGGCGAACACAGGGTATTCTGGCCAGAAGCTTCTTGTGGACTCCAACCAGTTTGGCTTGCCCGCGAGGCGCCGCCGACTCTACGTCGTGTTTGTCAAGGTCACGAACTGCGTCTTTAGTTTCAGCAGCCGGCCGCTGGAGGCTTGTTTTGACTCGCTTCGCTCCTGCGTCGCGTCGTGCGTGCGCTCAGCCCCGTGTGCAAGCAAGGTTCTCTTGCCCCGGGACGATGAGGATGTCAAGCAGTTCCTCATTGCGCGGCAAGACAAGGCCCTGAAGAGCGCGGGCCGCTCTCAGAGCAACAGTGCAGGGAGCGCGTGGATTGAGCAGCACATGCGCTACTCAGAGAGCGCTGGCGTGCGGTGGGGCCAGCCTGTTCCTGCGGACCTTGCCTGCAACGACTGGTTTGACACCCTCACAGACCGAGAAAAAGACTCATTGCTGCTGAGCAGGCATCAGGCGCCTTCGGCGGGGTTTCGGAATCTCAGCCAGTCAGTTGGCCGAGTCCACTCGCAAAGCTGGAGCCCAGATTCCGGCAAGCACGTGGCCCCAACGATGTTGCCCGGGCAGCTTTTGTTTGTGGAGCTTACCAGGCCTGCTCGGGTGCTTTTGGGCCAGGAGGCGCTTATCATGCAAGGTTTTCCAGCCCGCAGGCTTTTAGCCGAGTTGCGCCACGAGATCGACGCTTCGCATGGCCAATCGCAGCGCAAGTGGCTCACAGAAAGCCTCATGACGGACCTCGCTGGCAACGCGATGTCCCTACCAGTGCTGCTGGCCATTTGGCAGGCAGCGCTTGCAGCCTTCGTCCTTCGCGAGCCCAGCGCCCCAGTCACGCAGGCGGATGTCCATGCCACCTTGGCAGCCCTCCGCGTTGTGCAAGGAGGCAGGCCTATGCCGTGAGCCGGTCTCTGACCTAGTCGGCAACATCTACGCCACCCGACCCCGGGACAGAGATGCAGTTAGCCTCAGTTAGCCTAGCCAGGCCACAGAGCCTTGGCAGCCAACAAGTGCCTTTGGAGTCCAAAACAGCAGCTGCGGCGCGAGCTGACAAAGCGGCGTAGCTCAGCCACCCCCAACCTCAGCCCCAGCGTCGATGCTTTTTTCATGCAGCGCACTAGCGCAAGGATTGCTTACAATTGTGTTGCATGTCCGCGTCGTATAATAAAGCAATTGTCAAACAATTGCCGCAACAACTGTTTTGCATGCCCGTGTTTCAGACAATTGTTGCAGCAATTGTTTTGCACACCCGTGTTTTGTCAAACAACTGTTGCGACAATTGTTTTGCACATCCGTGTTTGTCAAACAATTGCTGCGACAACTGTTTTGCTTACCCGTGTTTTGTCAAACATTTGTTGCAACAATTGTTTCGCGCGCCCGCGTTTTGTCAAACATTTGTTGCAGCAATTGTTTTGCGTGCCCGTGTATTCTCAAACAATTGTTGCGACAATTGTTTTGGTAAAAGAATCGTCGAAACAATCGTCGAAACAATCGCCGTGGATTTTGACCCCCTCGGAAATGGTCAAACCTACGAAGCCTTTTGAAAACATTCAACATTTTGCTTGGATGTTAGGACTTTGACTCTTTGCCAGCTATATGGGTGTTCCATTAAACCACTAAAAGTTTTTCACTTTTAGCAGGGGAGCAGATTTCGCAACCGGGTTCTTAAGACCATTTCCGAGATTCCCAGGCGAAAGACGTCATTTTGGCTGCCGCTTTGGGTCAGATTGTGATGGAGTCACCTCCCAGCAAACATGACTTGGTTCTCAGGAATCAGTTTTCATGTCCGAGAGGGACATGTCCAAGTCGACCCGCCCCCCCTCGGCTTCCTAAATTGAGTTGACATCCGATTTGCCTTGGAATGGTGTCCAAGGGTATTGAAAGGGCGCCCAGCCAAGCCAACGTGGGGGCATATATGGTACAGCGTTGCCAGACCCCCGCCCTCCCCCCCCAATGGTCATGGGTCAGACAAGTACCCCCCCCCCCCCTGTGGTTGTGGTCCTGTGGTTGGGTTGTGGTGGTTTAGGGTTGCCTTAGAATTGGTTTGGGGTATATTTAGGGTGTATTTAGGGTTAGTTTAGGGTTGGTTCAGGGTTGATTTAGGTTGATTTATGTTGATTCAGGGTTGGTTTAGGGTTGGTTTAGGTTTAGAGGTGTACGGTTTAGGGTTTGGTTTAGCGTGTATTTAGGGTTGGTTTAGGGTTGGTTTAGGTTTAGGGTGTATTGTTTAGGGATTGGTTTAGGGTGTATTTGGGGTTAGTTTAGGGTTGGTTTAGGGTTAGTTTAGGGTTGGTTTATATTGATTTAGGGTTGGTTTAGGTGTAGAGGTCTACGGTTTAGGATTTGGTTTAGGGTGTATTTGGGGTTGGTTTAGGGTTAGTTTAGGGTTGGTTTATAGTTGGTTGCGGGTTGGCTTGTCCTGGGGGTGGGGGTGCCGGGGTGTCGGGGTGCGAGTTCAGGGGGTAGGGGTGGGGGTGGGACCGTAGGTGCCAGGATCCGGGGGCTCGGGGTCTCGGGCCGGGGGGGGGGGGTTCTGGGGGACCATACCATATGGGGGGGGGAGGGTAGCAACACGGAACACGGGACCATATATATATATATATATTATATACTTTCCATGCGCACTTGATTTGTGGGGACAAAGGAGTCTCGTTTGTTGGATGATGCCAAGGAAAAGCAAAAGGACTTGGTTGGTCAGGTGGCTCTATGCGGGTATCATGTTTTCAGCCTTTGCAGGAACATCCAATCCCAAAACGGTTCATTCCCACATTCCCTATCTATCGCACCAGCAAAAAACCCAGGTGGCGAACCACTTGCTGGCTTGGCCAACGTCCCAATACGGCCAAACCTGGGTAACACACTTATTCTCCGTTCAGTGGAGTCAACCCTGTTGGTGGGTTCTAACCCAGGTGGCTGATCACTCACTCCATGTCGCATTTCTATGCGATATCCACAAAGCGGGTGTGACCCACTTGGTCTGAGCAGATGTCCTCAGTGTGAAGCCACTTACTTTGGTCCAACATCCGAATACGACCGAACCTGGCTCCGTTCAGTGGAATTGGTTGGGGTCTTCTTTTGTGGATCACTCAGGTGGCTCTATGCGGGTATCATTTTTTCAGCCTTTGCAGGAACATCCAATCCCAAAACGGTTCATTCCCACATTTCCTACCTATCGCACCAGCAAAAAACCCAGGTGGCGAACCACTTACTGGCTTGGCCAACGTCCCAATACGGCCAAACCTGGGTAACACACTTATTCTCCGTTCAGTGGAGTCAACCCTGTTGGTGGGTTCTAACCCAGGTGGCGAACCTCTTTGGTCCAGCATCCGACGCATGGATCCTTCGTATTTGGATGAGATCCTCGTGGATCGCATCTCGTCCGTCAGGCGCGGCAGCGCTGGGTGGCGCGGCTTTTGTGGCGCCCGTGGCGCCAACGACGACGACCCCGGCACTTCGCGCCGGGGTCCTTCTGGGGGGCAAAGGAGCTGAGCCCAGGGCACCAGGGGAAACCTAAAGTAGCGGCAATTGGACGACTTAAGCTAAGGTTTATTTGGAATGCCTAAAGGAGCCACGTCCGGGAAAAAAAGAAAAAACGGGTAGAAGGTTAAGGGAGACTCCCCTTGCTATAAATGGGTACGGGTATCTGCCAGTTCAACTCGTGAAGCATGGGTTTTCGATCGGTTTTGACCAAGTCCGATCGGTTTTGATTATGACCCTAGCTCATGAAGGCCGCCTTGGTTCCTGGGTGAAAGGGGTTTGTGCAGGGAGAGGAACAGCTGAAGGTTACCCTCCTAGAAGCCGTTTTTTGGTGAACAGATCCCCGTTCCAGGCTGCAAGAGGAGTTTGTGCACCTCCTGGTTGCTTGGTGGGAGGGTATTTTTTGTTATTTTCAGAAGCATGTTCCAGCTGAAAAGGAACCCGAAGGCTCCCTGTTCAGGTCTCCTCGAGGAATCATCAAAGCACACCTGAAACGAAAGCACCCGGAGGCGCCACTTTCGGTGTTCCTGGTAGACTCGTGCAAACGAAGGGTGAAGAATTCCATTTGAGTCACAACCAAAACCCGGAGAATTGGAGGGTCCCAGCCACAAATGTGTGCGGATATCCGCTTTTTTGTCCAGTTGAAGCATGCTTCTCTCCCGTTTGCTGAAATGAATATGTGTAGTATCCCTTGTCGTTTTTTTTTTTACACGGGATCTACCACCTTTGAGCATATGTTAAGTCATTTTTTTCAGCTGGCTCAAGACCATTTTGAAGCCTTTGGATCCAAGGGGTCCCTTCAGTGTAGCTCCCTGGGGCTGGCCTGAGTCCTTTCCACCCCGGAAATGTGTCGGGTGGGGGTCTTGTTGCAATTGAGTCATGCGGCTGACAAGTCTCACCGGACCACCGTAGGGTATGTTGCATTGTACAGATGTATGGTTGATTCTCCAATCAGCCACGATCTTCGGTTGTTTACGGTATATTACTGGGTTTCCCTTGTCAATTACAGCCACCATGGTTTGCTACGCGTGGCTTCTGCGATAGCTTCTTCCCTGCATGTAAAGCCACTAGCAACAGTGTTGCGAGTGTACTGTTGGTTGGGAGATCGAGAAGGGAGGACAGCGCCAATTCCGACCACAACAACTGTAGACAAACACATAATTGCATGTTTGCCTGACTGCCTTGACTGTTGTAAACAGGCTTTGGCTCGTTTTTTTGTTTTTTTCCCTTTTTTTATGACGAACACACTGTTTCGCTTTGTTTGTTGCCAATCCACTCAAGAAGTGAGAAATAAGTTGTTCCATTGTTTTGAAAGGACGACCACCATCCCAGGTTTGGGCAATTTTGTCCCCAGCGGATCGGGTGTTTGAAGCACCTGGGAGTTAGCGAAGTGGTCAGGAACACCAGATAACCTCGAGCCAACCTCGAGTGAACTCTGTGCAAGCCTTTGTTGATTTTCTAGCCCTTTAGCTATCCAAAAGACCGTCCGAGTACCTGAAACTTTCCTGAATCACTTTTTTGGAGTCCCTCGCAGGCTCACACATCAAGCCCCGCCCTCTCTGGGCGGCCTCCCTGCGTTTCAGGCTACAGCGGGAAAGGCCACAGCGGCCACTTCGCCATCTGAGGCGTGGATCGATCGCCCGGTGTGGCAGTGGGACCGAACAATAACCCCCCCCTGGCAAAAAAAAAAAAACAAGCTGCATGCAACGTTTGCTTCCAATAAATTTAATTCTGTGTTCCTACATCTCCCCTTTTGGTTTGAAAGGGAGCATCCAGAGTCCTACAAGCCACCCAAAGATCCCTCCAAACAAGGCCCCGTTTGGCACCATAAGGCCTTGTTCTTTAGGACCTGGTTGCCTTTGTTTTCTTCAATGAGGTTTACCGACAAATGAGGCGTTCGTATCCGCTGAGCCGTTTGCCGGCGGTCGTCTTTGTTTGACTGGGAAGGTGGAGGGGATTGAGGGGGCTTGGACTCTTAGAGACAGTGCGGTTGCCTCAACCCGAAAACCCCAAAAAAGCCCGTTGCAACATAGGAAGGCTGGAAACAAAATTCCGCGGCTATTGGGATGGGGCGACATGAATGGAACAAGCCACCAAGCCAACATGTTGCCTGGCATGAAGTTTGTCCATCCACAATCCGGGGGCCTCGATGGGGTCTCTATAAAATACCGTTGGCTACATCAATAGAATAGGGTTCCGGGGTACTTTAAATCCACATTTAGTCATGATAAGAAAATAGTTCAGGGAGTGTGTAGCTGCTTTGGTCATAATTTAGCATCATGGTCTAACTTTAGTCACGATTGGAAAATTGGATCAGTCATCATTTAGCCGCTTACATTACCTTTTCCGGTTTCCGGAGCCCCGAGTACTTCATTTGCCGAGCTGTGTTTGTGTTGTTTTCCCCAGCTTGATCCTAAAGGGAATCGATTTCCCTACTGGATGTGTTTTATCATTTTTTCAGGGGGCAATTTGGTGGCTTAGATTTGTGGTTTGGTGGTGTTCTGGGGTCGTTTCTCATTTGCCCTCTGCAAAAGCAAGGGCTTCAAGTCCGAATCCAAACCAATCCAAACCGAGTAGCGGTTGCTGAAAATGGGTGTGTATCCAGATAGAGATTTGCACCCCCAAAATTGGTGGCTTTCCTTGTGGTTTCCCTTGAAGCACCAGCCAGCGGTTGCCTGAAAATGGGATTCCCAGCTTCACATCTTGTTAGGCGCCCAAGGCGCTCGCAGTCGCGGGTGCCGCCCTGGCCGCTTTGGCAGGGCGCAAGGCGAGACCGGCGAGTGGGCGAATCCACTTCACTCGGAGGACGGTTCTATTTATGGGTCAAAATTAAAGCACCAGGATATGGACCGCAAGTTTTAGTTTTTGGTTTCATTTACTTCATGTCCCTTCACTTCCTTGCATTTCCCTTCATTTCCTCCAGTTTCCCTTCATTTCCTTCCAGGTTTCCTTCATTTCCCTTCATTTCCCTTCGCCAAGAATACTCATTGCCGGATGGTTGCAGTCTAGTCTATAAGTTGATCCGAACCTAGGTGACCCTTTGTCTAGTTCCCCGATCCTGACGGCTCGTTTTTCCGTCGTCGGTTGAAGAGTCGTGCCCTGGAGGTCTTCTGCCAGTGTTGAACCCGGATTCATACACCCCTGTTTACTGTTTATGGGGCTGGTCTCCTCCAAGAGTGGTCTGGATCCCAACTAAAACCAGCGCCCCCGTTCTGAATAAACTTTTTTTTGAAAAATAAATCTGGGGCCAACATTATACTTCCGATCCTTCCGTCACTCCAAAAGCGCCCTGGTCGCTCGCGAATCGATCGGCATCAGCGAAGATGGGTGCTTTTTTTCACCTGGATCAAAGGGAAATCCCACCCACACGAAGGGAAGAAGGAGAAGGGCAGCCATGAGAGCATTAGGAAGAACTGGGAAACTCGGAAAAGAGGGGGGAAGACACGAAACGATGACAGACTCACTCCATGACTAGTCACTGTTTGAACAAACCGTTTTAGTGGTACACAATGAGTTTGGGAGCCATTTTTGGCCAGTCCACTCGAGCGCAAGTGAGGAGCAAATCAATATGACAAACTGGACTTTCGCCCTAACCCGCGGACGTCCACTTGAGCCACGTCCTCAAACACGCGGGTACATGAAGGTTAGTAAGAGAGAATCCCCTTTGCATAAACGGGCGCGGATATCCGGCTTTTGAATTCTCGAAGCATGTTTCCTGGTTCTGGGCATTTGTGAAGCAGGTTTTGATTATATCCGGCTTCTTAATTCTCGAAGCATGGTTCTGGGTCAAGTTGATTTTGACTCGAAGAGGGTATGTGTCAAATGGGTATGGCTCAAAAGACCGGTACCAAAATTGGTTGCCCTGGTAAGTGGAACCATGGACCAAAACCTGCGTAACCCTAGCTCTTTAATTTTGAGCCACTGCCAAATGGGGTGGGGGGCCCTCAAACATGATGGGGTTCTGGGGATCGGCCATGGGTTTTAAAAATTCCTGCCAGGCCTTCGTCCCCAGCGCGAAGCCTCACATGGCTGGGGCCGTCCTGTCGTTGTTTTTTTGGCGGACGAGGGATGACTTATGGGGTTGAGCCCGGGTGCCAACAAAAAACGCATGTCCGGTGCTGATTTGATGGTACCCTCAAGGAGTTGTAGGGATCAGGCACATATGTACATATATATATATATATATGTATGATATATTAATATGATGTACGTAATAATACAAATTAATATGATATATCAACATTCTATATTGATATGATATATCAACATTATATATTAATACGATATATTGATATTATAATGTATATGTATGCCCGGCAATGTTAGTGCAAGAAACCCATAAGAAACCATCGAACACCGATGCCCTTAGAGATAGAGAACATCAAAACCCGATATGGCAGTCGTAGTGTTTGCTCATATGAGCGCCCAGCACCCCCCCAAAGAGCCATTTCAGTCGGTGGGTATGCTGCCCGTAGCTTAGAACCAGGTCGAGTAAATTGGGTCTGGGGCGCTCACCAACCAAGCGGGCGGCGGGTGGAAGCGTTCGATTTGGCAGGAAGACGGATTTTGCTTTGCGAGCGGTTTTACACATCAAACTGGAGTCTCCCCCAAAACTATTTCGTGATTTGAGGTTTGAGGTAGACCAACAACAAAAACATTTCTGAACATACTTTTGGTGCACCGCAGATGTTGGCCAGGAAGCCTACTTTGTTCTTCTTTGGCTAATTGTTTGTTTGTGCGCTTGGTTGTTTCTGGTGTTCTTTGTTGTTTGTTTGTTTGCTTGTGTGTTTGCTTGTTTGCGTCTTTGTTTTGTTTGTTTCGTTGCTTTGTTTGTTTCTTTGTTTGTTTGTTTGTTTGTTTGTTTGCTTGCTTGCTTGTTTGTTGGATGATGTGTGTTTATTTGTTTGCTTCTGTTTGTTTGCTTGTTGTTTGCTTGCTTGTGTGTTTGTTTCTTCGTTTATTTGTTTGTTAGTGTGTGTTGTTTGCTGAGTGGTTCTTTGTTTGTTTGTTTGTTCGTTCATTTGTTGGTTAGTTGCTTGCCTTCTTACTTGCTGGTTTGTTGGCTTGCTTACTTGTTTGCATCTTGTGTGTTGCCTTTTGTTTGTTTGCATTTTTGGTTTTGTTGATTTTTGTTTGCTAGTATGTTTATTTCTTTGTGTATTTGTTTGTTTGCTTGTTTTCGTTTATTGTGTTGTTTGTTTCTTCACGCCATGTTTGTTTGTTTGTTTGTGTGTTGTTTGCTTGTTTGTTAGTTTGTTTGCTTGCTTTCGCTCGTTTGCCTGCTTTTGATTGTTTGCTAGCTTTCGTTTGTTTGCTTGCTTTCGTTTGTTTGCTTGCATTTTTTTTGTTTGCTTGGTTTCTTTTGCTTGCTTTTTTTGTTTGCTTGCTTTCGTTTGTTTGCCTGCTTTCGTTTGTTTGCTTGCTTTCGTTTGTTTGCTTTCTTGTTTGGTTGTTGTTTGTTGTCTTTTGTTTAGTTGTTTTGTTGGGAGTTGCTATGTTTTGTTGCTTGTTTGTTTGTCTGTCTGTCCGTCCGTCTGTCTATCTGTCTTTTTGGTTGCTTGCTTGCTTGCCTGCCTGCTTGCTTGCTTGATTTACTTTTTGTTGTTTGTTTGTTTATTTGTCTGTTTTGGTTTATTCTCTTGTGCGTTCGTTCATGTGTTGGTTTATTTGGTTACTTGTTGTGTTGCTTGTTTGTTTAGTTGCTTGTTTGCTTGCTTGTTTGTTTGTTTGTTTGTTTGATTCATTTGTTTGTTGGTTTGCTTCTTTTTGTTTGCTTGCTTGTTTGTTTGTTGTGTTTGTCTTTTGTTTGTTTGTGCTTGTTGGTTTGGTTGCTGCTGTTTGTGCGTTTGTTCGTAGCAAGTTGTTGTGCTTTGTTTCATTGTTGTTGCGTTGTTGTCAGTTTGTGTATTGTTGTATGTTTTTGTTTCTGCTTATGCTTATGCTATGCTTATGTTTCTGTTTGTCTGTCATTCTGTCTGTCTGTCTGTCTGTCTGTCTGTTTGTCTATCTGTTTGGGTGGTTGCTTGCTTGCTTGCTTGCTTGCTTGCTTGCTTGCTTGCTTGCTTGCTTGCTTGCTTGCTTGCTTGCTTGCTTGCTTGCTTGCTTGCTTGCTTGCTTGCTTGCTTGCTTGCTTGCTTGCTTGCTTGCTTGCTTGCTTGCTTGCTTTGCCTGCTTGCCTGCTTGCCTGCTTGCCTGCTTGCCTGCTTGCCTGCTTGCCTGCTTGCTTGCTTGCTTGCTTGCTTGCTTGCTTGCTTGCTTGCTTGCTTGCTTGCTTGCTTGGTTTGCTTTGATTGTTTTGTGGGTGCTGTGTTGTGTTGTGTTTTGTTGTTGCTTCGTTTTGCTTTGTTTGCTTGTCGGTTTGGGTTTCGTTTGTTGGTTTGTTTGCACATTAACCTTCATTCCATTGCACAGCCTGGCTTGGCTTGCTTGCTTGATTGTTTAGTTGTTTGTATATTTGCCTGTTTGGTTTTATTGCCCCTGTAATTGTTTGAATTGCCTGCTGGTTTGCGCGTTTGCTCGTTTGGTTCGTCTACGTTCTTGTGTGATGAGCGTGATGGTTGATTGGCTGGATGAAGGGTTTGATGCATGGTTCTGATGTTGGATTGTGGGAGTATCTGGCTTGCCAGATTCAGATTGTGTATGTTTTATTTGGTTCACTCGTTTGACCGCGGTTCAGCCAGTGTCCCCCCCTGTTCAACCTCGGCCTTTGGGGCCTAGGTGCTTTTCCATGCGGTTTCAAGAAGAGTAGCAGAGGCGATAAGTACCCATATGTTGGTATGAACTGAAATAAGAATCGCTGTTTGGTGCAAGCGGGGCATGGGGGGGCATATGATGCTGAACTCGGTGGTTGCATGCTAGAAGGTGCCTTTCAATTCGGCTTCAAGATAGGAGTTCAGCCCTGCAAGGTGAATTTTAGGATTTAGATACGGATCAATTTGTTGGGTGCTCGTAAAAACTAGATGCGTGTAATTGGCGACGTCACGTCCTGGGGGTTGCGATTTCCAAGCCCCAACAACATGTTCGACAAAACAAGACCCCTTGGGTTCCATGCTAATTATTCTACACGAGGGTAAAGCGGAGTCCTGATAGCTGCTCTTTTGCAGGTGGCTTTGAGTGCCTTCGAGAACGAGCTCGGCGTGCAGGCTCCTGTGGGATTTTGGGATCCCGCTGGTTTTACCGCGGACGGCAGCACCGAGAACTTTGCACGCAGGCGCCAGACGGAGTTGAAGCATGGCAGGATTTCCATGCTGGACACTTAGTCAGCATTTGGCACATGTGTGTGTGTCTCATTTTGTTTTTATGTTTTGCCAACATGATAGCAATCGAGCACTTGTTGTTTTTTGCCTGATTTAACTTGAACGTTAACCAAGGCAACCATGGGCTATATCACTCCTGAGATCACGGGAAAATTCCCGGGCTATCTGAGCCCTTCCGCAGGCTTGAAGTTCGCGGATGTCCCTAACGGACTTGCGGCAATTTCCAAGGTGCCCGCTGCGGGCTGGGGTCAGATCTTGGCTTACATGGCCTTCTGCGAGGTGTCCCAGGACCAGTCGGCTGGAACTCCTGCTGCGGCAGGTGACTTCGGATTCAAGGTGCTCACCGCATCCGACCCGGAGGCCAAGAAAACTAAGCTTGCAGCCGAGCTCGCGAACGGTCGCCTGGCCATGATGGCCATCATCGGCATGTTCTTTCAGGCGCTTGGATCCAAAGGGTGGCAAGTAGAGCAAACGCGTCATAGATATACAGCGTGGGTGGAAGGTGAGCAGTGGTGACATGTTTGATATACAGTCACATGTATTGTATGTTCTAAAAACATACACAATCAATCGCTACGTTGTGTTCAATCTCTGGCGTAGATACATGTTGCAATTTCTCATGCAACCAGATGTTGCACTACTCTCAAGCCCTGTCGCAATGGTGAGACTGATGAGCTTGAATTGTGTCAGAGTTTCAACATCTTTGAAGGTTAGCTTGATGTGACCTACAAGGGTTGGCGAAATCAATAGAGTTCCTTGATCTTCACAGCCTGCATGCATGCGTGCTTAGTGCATCCTACTACTTGTGCATCATATAATCTTATCGTTTAAGTCATCAGGGTCTCAGTATGTTTCAGTAGCAGAGACCATGCAGGATGGCTTGACCGGAAGCGCCTGGGGTGACTGGGCCAACTACACCGCTTCGCCTCTGCGAGCTTTCGAGAACGAGCTCGGCGTGCAAGCACCAGTCGGATTTTGGGATCCCGCTGGTTTTACCGCGGACGGCAGCACCGAGAACTTTGCACGCAGGCGCCAGACGGAGTTGAAGCATGGCAGGATTTCCATGCTGGACACTTAGTCAGCATTTTGCATGTGTGTTTCAGTTTGCTTTTAGGTTTTGCCAATATGATAGCAATCGAACACGTGTTGTTTTTTGCCTGATTTAACTTGAACGTTAACCAAGGCAACCATGGGCTATATCACTCCTGAGATCACGGGAAAATTCCCGGGCTATCTGAGCCCTTCCGCAGGCTTGAAGTTCGCGGATGTCCCTAACGGACTTGCGGCAATTTCCAAGGTGCCCGCTGCGGGCTGGGGTCAGATCTTGGCTTACATGGCCTTCTGCGAGGTGTCCCAGGACCAGTCGGCTGGAACTCCTGCTGCGGCAGGTGACTTCGGATTCAAGGTGCTCACCGCATCCGACCCAGAGGCCAAGAAAACTAAGCTTGCAGCCGAGCTCGCGAACGGTCGCCTGGCCATGATGGCCATCATCGGCATGTTCTTTCAGGCACTTGGATCCAAAGGGTGGCAATTAGAACAAGCGCGTCATAGATATACAGCGTGGCGGGTAGGTGAGCAGTGGTGACCTGTTTGATATACAATTGCATGTGTTGTATGTTCTTGTTAACAATTGCGGCGTGGTGTTCAATCTCTGGTGTAGACACATCAGATATGGCACTACTCTCAAGCCCCGTCGCAATGGTGAGACCGATGAGCGGCACTTGCTTGGTTTGATTTGTTTCAGAGTCTTAACACATTTGAAGGGTAGCTTGATATGACTTACAGGGGTTGGCGAAATCAGTAGAGTTCCTTGATCTTCATAACCTGCATGCACGTGTGCTTAGTGCATCCTACCAGTTGTACATCATATAATGTTATCGTTTAAGTCGTTTGTGTGTGAGTATGTTACAGTAGTATAGACCATGCACAGGATGGCTTGACCGGAAGCGCCTGGGGTGACTGGGCCAACTACACCGCTTCTCCTCTGCGAGCTTTCGAGAACGAGCTCGGCGTGCAGGCACCAGTCGGATTTTGGGATCCCGCTGGTTTTACCGCGGACGGCAGCACCGAGAACTTTGCACGCAGGCGCCAGACGGAGTTGAAGCATGGCAGGATTTCCATGCTGGACACTTAGTCAGCATTTTGCATGTGTGTTTCAGTTTGCTTTTAAGTTTTGCCAACATGATAGCAATCGAACACATGTTGTTTTTGCCTGATTTAACTTGAACGTTAACCAAGGCAACCATGGGCTATATCACTCCTGAGATCACGGGAAAATTCCCGGGCTATCTGAGCCCTTCCGCAGGCTTGAAGTTCGCGGATGTCCCTAACGGACTTGCGGCAATTTCCAAGGTGCCCGCTGCGGGCTGGGGTCAGATCTTGGCTTACATGGCCTTCTGCGAGGTGTCCCAGGACCAGTCGGCTGGAACTCCTGCTGCGGCAGGTGACTTCGGATTCAAGGTGCTCACCGCATCCGACCCAGAGGCCAAGAAAACTAAGCTTGCAGCCGAGCTCGCGAACGGTCGCCTGGCCATGATGGCCATCATCGGCATGTTCTTTCAGGCACTTGGATCCAAAGGGTGGCAATTAGAACAAGCGCGTCATAGATATACAGCGTGGCGGGTAGGTGAGCAGTGGTGACCTGTTTGATATACAATTGCATGTGTTGTATGTTCTTGTTAACAATTGCGGCGTGGTGTTCAATCTCTGGTGTAGACACATCAGATATGGCACTACTCTCAAGCCCCGTCGCAATGGTGAGACCGATGAGCGGCACTTGCTTGGTTTGATTTGTTTCAGAGTCTTAACACATTTGAAGGGTAGCTTGATATGACTTACAGGGGTTGGCGAAATCAGTAGAGTTCCTTGATCTTCATAACCTGCATGCACGTGTGCTTAGTGCATCCTACCAGTTGTACATCATATAATGTTATCGTTTAAGTCGTTTGTGTGTGAGTATGTTACAGTAGTATAGACCATGCACAGGATGGCTTGACCGGAAGCGCCTGGGGTGACTGGGCCAACTACACCGCTTCTCCTCTGCGAGCTTTCGAGAACGAGCTCGGCGTGCAGGCACCAGTCGGATTTTGGGATCCCGCTGGCTTTACCGCGGACGGCAGCACCGAGAACTTTGCACGCAGGCGCCAGACGGAGTTGAAGCATGGCAGGATTTCCATGCTGGACACTTAGTCAGCATTTTGCATGTGTGTTTTATTTTGCTTTTAAGTTTGCCAACATGATAGCAATCGAACACGTGTTGTTTTTTGCCTGATTTAACTTGAACGTTAACCAAGGCAACCATGGGCTATATACTCCTGAGATCACGGGAAAATTCCCGGGCTATCTGAGCCCTTCCGCAGGCTTGAAGTTCGCGGATGTCCCTAACGGACTTGCGGCAATTTCCAAGGTGCCCGCTGCGGGCTGGGGTCAGATCTTGGCTTACATGGCCTTCTGCGAGGTGTCCCAGGACCAGTCGGCTGGAACTCCTGCTGCGGCAGGTGACTTCGGATTCAAGGTGCTCACCGCATCCGACCCGGAGGCCAAGAAAACTAAGCTTGCAGCCGAGCTCGCGAACGGTCGCCTGGCCATGATGGCCATCATCGGCATGTTCTTTCAGGCGCTTGGATCCAAAGGGTGGCAAGTAGAGCAAAGCGCGTCATAGATATACAGCGTGGGTGGAAGGTGAGCAGTGGTGACGTGTTTGATATACAATCGCATGTGCTGTATGTTCTTGTTAACAATTGCGGCGTGGTGTTCAATCTCTGGTGTAGACACATCAGATAGCACTACTCTCAAGCCCCGTCGCAATGGTGAGACCGATGAGCGGCACTTGCTTGGTTTGATTTGTTTCAGAGTCTTAACACATTTGAAGGGTAGCTTGATATGACTTACAGGGGTTGGCGAAATCAGTAGAGTTCCTTGATCTTCATAACCTGCATGCACGTGTGCTTAGTGCATCCTACCAGTTGTACATCATATAATGTTATCGTTTAAGTCGTTTGTGTGTGAGTATGTTACAGTAGTATAGACCATGCATAGGATGGCTTGACCGGAAGCGCCTGGGGTGACTGGGCCAACTACACCGCTTCTCCTCTGCGAGCTTTCGAGAACGAGCTCGGCGTGCAGGCACCAGTCGGATTTTGGGATCCCGCTGGCTTTACCGCGGACGGCAGCACCGAGAACTTTGCACGCAGGCGCCAGACGGAGTTGAAGCATGGCAGGATTTCCATGCTGGACACTTAGTCAGCATTTTGCATGTGTGTTTTATTTTGCTTTTAAGTTTGCCAACATGATAGCAATCGAACACGTGTTGTTTTTTGCCTGATTTAACTTGAACGTTAACCAAGGCAACCATGGGCTATATCACTCCTGAGATCACGGGAAAATTCCCGGGCTATCTGAGCCCTTCCGCAGGCTTGAAGTTCGCGGATGTCCCTAACGGACTTGCGGCAATTTCCAAGGTGCCCGCTGCGGGCTGGGGTCAGATCTTGGCTTACATGGCCTTCTGCGAGGTGTCCCAGGACCAGTCGGCTGGAACTCCTGCTGCGGCAGGTGACTTCGGATTCAAGGTGCTCACCGCATCCGACCCGGAGGCCAAGAAAACTAAGCTTGCAGCCGAGCTCGCGAACGGTCGCCTGGCCATGATGGCCATCATCGGCATGTTCTTTCAGGCGCTTGGATCCAAAGGGTGGCAAGTAGAGCAAACGCGTCATAGATATACAGCGTGGGTGGAAGGTGAGCAGTGGTGACGTGTTTGATATACAATCGCATGTGCTGTATGTTCTTGTTAACAATTGCGGCGTGGTGTTCAATCTCTGGTGTAGACACATCAGATATGGCACTACTCTCAAGCCCCGTCGCAATGGTGAGACCGATGAGCGGCACTTGCTTGGTTTGATTTGTTTCAGAGTCTTAACACATTTGAAGGGTAGCTTGATCGTTTAAGTCGTTTGTGTGTGAGTATGTTACAGTAGTATAGACCATGCACAGGATGGCTTGACCGGAAGCGCCTGGGGTGACTGGGCCAACTACACCGCTTCTCCTCTGCGAGCTTTCGAGAACGAGCTCGGCGTGCAGGCACCAGTCGGATTTTGGGATCCCGCTGGCTTTACCGCGGACGGCAGCACCGAGAACTTTGCACGCAGGCGCCAGACGGAGTTGAAGCATGGCAGGATTTCCATGCTGGACACTTAGTCAGCATTTTGCATGTGTGTTTTATTTTGCTTTTAAGTTTGCCAACATGATAGCAATCGAACACGTGTTGTTTTTTGCCTGATTTAACTTGAACGTTAACCAAGGCAACCATGGGCTATATACTCCTGAGATCACGGGAAAATTCCCGGGCTATCTGAGCCCTTCCGCAGGCTTGAAGTTCGCTGATGTCCCGAATGGACTTGCGGCAATTTCCAAGGTGCCCGCTGCGGGCTGGGGTCAGATCTTGGCTTACATGGCCTTCTGCGAGGTGTCCCAGGACCAGTCGGCTGGAACTCCTGCTGCGGCAGGTGACTTCGGATTCAAGGTGCTCACCGCATCCGACCCAGAGGCCAAGAAAACTAAGCTTGCAGCCGAGCTCGCGAACGGTCGCCTGGCCATGATGGCCATCATCGGCATGTTCTTTCAGGCGCTTGGATCCAAAGGGTGGCAAGTAGAGCAAACGCGTCATAGATATACAGCGTGGGTGGAAGGTGAGCAGTGGTGACGTGTTTGATATACAATCGCATGTGCTGTATGTTCTTGTTAACAATTGCGGCGTGGTGTTCAATCTCTGGTGTAGACACATCAGATATGGCACTACTCTCAAGCCCGTCGCAATGGTGAGACCGATGAGCGGCACTTGCTTGGTTTGATTTGTTTCAGAGTCTTAACACATTTGAAGGGTAGCTTGATATGATTTACAGGGGTTGCCGAAATCAGTAGAGTTCCTTGATCTTCATAACCTGCATGCACGTGTGCTTAGTGCATCCTACCAGTTGTACATCATATAATGTTATCGTTTAAGTCGTTTGTGTGTGAGTATGTTACAGTAGTATAGACCATGCATAGGATGGCTTGACCGGAAGCGCCTGGGGTGACTGGGCCAACTACACCGCTTCTCCTCTGCGAGCTTTCGAGAACGAGCTCGGCGTGCAGGCACCAGTCGGATTTTGGGATCCCGCTGGCTTTACCGCGGATGGCAGCACCGAGAACTTTGCACGCAGGCGCCAGACGGAGTTGAAGCATGGCAGGATTTCCATGCTGGACACTTAGTCAGCATTTTGCATGTGTGTTTTATTTTGCTTTTAAGTTTTGCCAATATGATAGCAATCGAACACGTGTTGTTTTTTGCCTGATTTAACTTGAACGTTAACCAAGGCAACCATGGGCTATATTACTCCTGAGATCACGGGAAAATTCCCGGGCTATCTGAGCCCTTCCGCAGGCTTGAAGTTCGCGGATGTCCCTAACGGACTTGCGGCAATTTCCAAGGTGCCCGCTGCGGGCTGGGGTCAGATCTTGGCTTACATGGCCTTCTGCGAGGTGTCCCAGGACCAGTCGGCTGGAACTCCTGCTGCGGCAGGTGACTTCGGATTCAAGGTGCTCACCGCATCCGACCCGGAGGCCAAGAAAACTAAGCTTGCAGCCGAGCTCGCGAACGGTCGCCTGGCCATGATGGCCATCATCGGCATGTTCTTTCAGGCGCTTGGATCCAAAGGGTGGCAAGTAGAGCAAACGCGTCATAGATATACAGCGTGGGTGGAAGGTGAGCAGTGGTGACGTGTTTGATATACAATCACATGTGCTGTATGTTCTTGTTAACAATTGCGGCGTGGTGTTCAATCTCTGGTGTAGACACATCAGATATGGCACTACTCTCAAGCCCCGTCGCAATGGTGAGACCGATGAGCGGCACTTGCTTGGTTTGATTTGTTTCAGAGTCTTAACACATTTGAAGGGTAGCTTGATATGATTTACAGGGGTTGCCGAAATCAGTAGAGTTCCTTGATCTTCATAACCTGCATGCACGTGTGCTTAGTGCATCCTACCAGTTGTACATCATATAATGTTATCGTTTAAGTCGTTTGTGTGTGAGTATGTTACAGTAGTATAGACCATGCATAGGATGGCTTGACCGGAAGCGCCTGGGGTGACTGGGCCAACTACACCGCTTCTCCTCTGCGAGCTTTCGAGAACGAGCTCGGCGTGCAGGCACCAGTCGGATTTTGGGATCCCGCTGGCTTTACCGCGGACGGCAGCACCGAGAACTTTGCACGCAGGCGCCAGACGGAGTTGAAGCATGGCAGGATTTCCATGCTGGACACTTAGTCAGCATTTTGCATGTGTGTTTTATTTTGCTTTTAAGTTTGCCAACATGATAGCAATCGAACACGTGTTGTTTTTTGCCTGATTTAACTTGAACGTTAACCAAGGCAACCATGGGCTATATCACTCCTGAGATCACGGGAAAATTCCCGGGCTATCTGAGCCCTTCCGCAGGCTTGAAGTTCGCGGATGTCCCTAACGGACTTGCGGCAATTTCCAAGGTGCCCGCTGCGGGCTGGGGTCAGATCTTGGCTTACATGGCCTTCTGCGAGGTGTCCCAGGACCAGTCGGCTGGAACTCCTGCTGCGGCAGGTGACTTCGGATTCAAGGTGCTCACCGCATCCGACCCGGAGGCCAAGAAAACTAAGCTTGCAGCCGAGCTCGCGAACGGTCGCCTGGCCATGATGGCCATCATCGGCATGTTCTTTCAGGCGCTTGGATCCAAAGGGTGGCAAGTAGAGCAAACGCGTCATAGATATACAGCGTGGGTGGAAGGTGAGCAGTGGTGACGTGTTTGATATACAATCGCATGTGCTGTATGTTCTTGTTAACAATTGCGGCGTGGTGTTCAATCTCTGGTGTAGACACATCAGATATGGCACTACTCTCAAGCCCCGTCGCAATGGTGAGACCGATGAGCGGCACTTGCTTGGTTTAATTTGTTTCAGAGTCTTAACACATTTGAAGGGTAGCTTGATATGACTTACAGGGGTTGGCGAAATCAGTAGAGTTCCTTGATCTTCATAACCTGCATGCACGTGTGCTTAGTGCATCCTACCAGTTGTACATCATATAATGTTATCGTTTAAGTCGTTTGTGTGTGAGTATGTTACAGTAGTATAGACCATGCACAGGATGGCTTGACCGGAAGCGCCTGGGGTGACTGGGCCAACTACACCGCTTCTCCTCTGCGAGCTTTCGAGAACGAGCTCGGCGTGCAGGCACCAGTCGGATTTTGGGATCCCGCTGGCTTTACCGCGGACGGCAGCACCGAGAACTTTGCACGCAGGCGCCAGACGGAGTTGAAGCATGGCAGGATTTCCATGCTGGACACTTAGTCAGCATTTTGCATGTGTGTTTTATTTTGCTTTTAAGTTTTGCCAACATGATAGCAATCGAACACGTGTTGTTTTTTGCCTGATTTAACTTGAACGTTAACCAAGGCAACCATGGGCTATATTACTCCTGAGATCACGGGAAAATTCCCGGGCTATCTGAGCCCTTCCGCAGGCTTGAAGTTCGCTGATGTCCCGAATGGACTTGCGGCAATTTCCAAGGTGCCCGCTGCGGGCTGGGGTCAGATCTTGGCTTACATGGCCTTCTGCGAGGTGTCCCAGGACCAGTCGGCTGGAACTCCTGCTGCGGCAGGTGACTTCGGATTCAAGGTGCTCACCGCATCCGACCCAGAGGCCAAGAAAACAAAGCTTGCGGCCGAGCTCGCGAACGGTCGCCTGGCCATGATGGCCATCATCGGCATGTTCTTTCAGGCGCTTGGATCCAAAGGGTGGCAAGTAGAGCAAACACGTCATAGATATACAGCGTGGGTGGAAGGTGAGCAGTGGTGACGTGTTTGATATACAATCGCATGTGCTGTATGTTCTTGTTAACAATTGCGGCGTGGTGTTCAATCTCTGGTGTAGACACATCAGATATGGCACTACTCTCAAGCCCCGTCGCAATGGTGAGACCGATGAGCGGCACTTGCTTGGTTTGATTTGTTTCAGAGTCTTAACACATTTGAAGGGTAGCTTGATATGATTTACAGGGGTTGGCGAAATCAGTAGAGTTCCTTGATCTTCACAGCCTGCATGCACGCGTGCTAAGTGCATTCTACTAGCAACTTAGTAGTGCATCGTGGAATTTGATCGTTTAAGTCGTCAATGTCTCAGTATGTTTCAGTAGCAGACACCATGCACAGGATGGCTTGACTGGAAGCGCCTGGGGTGACTGGGCCAACTACACCGCTTCTCCTCTGCGAGCTTTCGAGAACGAGCTCGGCGTGCAGGCACCAGTCGGATTTTGGGATCCCGCCGGTTTTACCGCGGACGGCAGCACCGAGAACTTTGCACGCAGGCGCCAGACGGAGTTGAAGCATGGCAGGATTTCCATGCTGGACGCTTAGTCAGCATTTGGTATGTTTGTTTCATTTCGTTTTTGTATTATCAACATGGTGGCACTCGAACACATGTTGTTTTTTGCCTGATTTAACTTGAACGTTAACCAAGGCCACCATGGGCTATATTACTCCTGAGATCACGGGAAAATTCCCGGGCTATCTGAGCCCTTCCGCAGGCTTGAAGTTCGCGGATGTCCCGAATGGACTTGCGGCAATTTCCAAGGTGCCGGCTGCGGGCTGGGGTCAGATCTTGGCTTACATGGCCTTCTGCGAGGTGTCCCAGGACCAGTCGGCTGGAACTCCTGCTGCGGCAGGTGACTTCGGATTCAAGGTGCTCACCGCATCCGACCCAGAGGCCAAGAAAACTAAGCTTGCAGCCGAGCTCGCGAACGGTCGCCTGGCCATGATGGCCATCATCGGCATGTTCTTTCAGGCGCTTGGATCCAAAGGGTGGCAAGTAGAGCAAACGCGTCATAGATATACAGCGTGGCGGGTAGGTGAGCAGTGGTGACGTGCTTGATATACAATCACATGCATTGTACGTTCTTATTAACAATCGCGGCGTGCTGTTCAATCTCTGTCGTAGATACATGTTGCAATTCTCATGCAACAGATGTTGCACTACTCTCAAGCCCTGTCGCAATGGTGAGAGCGATGAACGGTTCTTGTATATATATTTTTTGAATTGTGTCAGGCTTTCAACACCTGAATAGCTTGATCTCACTTTCAAGGGTTGGCAAAATCAGTAGAGTTCTTCGATCTTCACAGCCTTCATGCACGTGTGCTTAGTGCATCCTACTAGTAACTTAGTGCATCGTAGAATCTTATCGCTTAAGTCGTCAGTGTCTCAGTATGTTTCAGTAGCAGAGACCATGCACAGGATGGCTTGACTGGAAGCGCCTGGGGTGACTGGGCCAACTACACTGCTTCTCCTCTGCGAGCTTTCGAGAACGAGCTCGGCGTGCAGGCGTCATTTTTGTTTCAGTCACTGTTGTCATGACCATGGCCACCTTTTCCAATCTAAACATCATGTTTCTTGCAGGTCAAGGGATCGGTCACAGATCAACACCTGGCAAGCCCGCTAACCCCCAAATCCACCACCCGCCTGGTGTAAATGGGTACATAATCATTTTACAAGTCATATTGGAACCATCAAGATATTCGTTGTTGTGCTTCGAAATCGGTGTTTCACTGATGTTGTGGACATGTACAAAACCATGGCAACAATCGAGGGCTTGCAAACACACGATAGCCCCTAAATGAAGTTAGAACATTTAATTTGAAGACGATCAGCTATCTAGGGAACCCGCGAACTAGATAACAAAACCAGCGCGTTTAAGTATTTTCGACCATGCTTCATATGAGCCACGGTCAAAGAGATTATAGACTGTCACTCATTTTGTCCGAACCTATACCCGCTACACAAACATGTTTTTTTTTTTCCCCATGGTTGTTAGCCCCCCAAAGAGGGGACCCCCCAAAAAAGGAGCCTAAAGGGGGTCCCTCATAGGCCATAGTCGCTATTGGCTTTATTTTGGGAGAGCCCCAATTTGGGGGGCCCCTTAAACACCATGGCATGGGTGTCCTTTTTGGTTGGTTTGCTTAAAGAATAGATGGTTTGCCCTGGTTTAGATGGGGTTTGTTCCATTTACCAGGGAAACCCATCTATTTTTCCACAAGGCCACCTATGAACCATGGGAGAGATGTGCGAGTTTCTGAAGCGTAGAGGTTTGGGCTGGGGGATGTCTTCTAAGACTTGGCTTCTTCTCTTTTTTCTTCTAAGACTGTGGCGCCTTCCACAAGACATCGTGAGACTCTCCGCTCTCTTTCTTTTGCCCTTTTTCATCTGACGAACCTCCAGACGATTCCATGGCAGCTCCCGGGTTTGGAAGACTTGGTTCCATTTACAGGATCGGCCAATTGGGGCAGCTTCCGGCGAAAACGGGAGTGAAACCCCTCGAATCAAACCCAAGACTATAAAAATGGGTACCCCAGCCATTTTTTATTTTTTTTTGCGTTTAATAGCTAGGTTTCCATTGAACCCACTAAAAGTTAACAACTTTTAGCAGGTTTTCTGCCGAGTATTCGTAGGATAAAGGCTCTCAGAAAGAGAGAGTTGCAGCCCTTGACTCCAGCGGGGACTCGAAACCAAGGAACAGCTCGCAGCAGGTTGGTGGTCGGCGTATTGGCTTCATGTCATGTCATGTCTGTGTCTTGAAAGGGGCACCAAAGGGCCGATGGCTTTCCGTTTGTTCCCCAACATTGGTATCGAGCCAGGCCAGTCCGGCCGTGTTCGCTCGGCAAAAATGCCGAGCGGGTCTTCGGGAAGATCTGTTCGATTTCTGCCGGTGTGGAAAGCCAGGCTCATAGGTGTCCTTTTTAGCTTAGCTTGATCAGAAATAGATGGCCCTGGTTTAGATGGGGGTTCCTATCTATTTACCAGGGAAACCCATCTATTTTTCCAAAAGGCCACCTATGGCCAGGCTTGGTCGGTCTATCTCCTGCTTTGTCTTTCGCGACTTTGTGGCGGCTCAGGCCAAAACAACATCAAGCCATCTAAGATGGTGTCCACCCCCAAACCACTGTGTCCCGTTAAATATCTGAAATTTGGTTCGGTTTGGGGGTAGTGGAAACCATAAATCTTAGCTTGGCTGGGTGGGACCAAATTCTTGACATAGCAGGCATATTGACTGAGGCTACGCATCACGTGCTATTGGGTGAGCCCAGAGGATCGAAATGGCCAATGTTTAGGGGTGCCGGTTTTCTTGCGCTCTGATTTTCAATAGGGACCTCAAAAGTTGGATTCAAAAGTGTTTTTTCTTCCCCTTTTTGTTTTTAACTTTCACCTAACTGGTGTTGAGTTATTTAAACGTTTTTTTTGTTCTTTTCTTTTTTTTACAAAAGCATATTTTCGCCTAGCTGGCGTCTTAGCAAAGGCTCCCCCTTGTGGTACCCAAGGGCACGCCCTTGGGCCGGAGGTTTCGCCCGCGGTTTCGCTCCGACTCGAAAAAGGCGCCGGTGGGCTTCTTCGATCCCTTTGGGCTGACCAAGGAGTGGGTGCCGCTTGGGGTTGGGGGACGGGTGTGTGTGTGGCTTAGTTGGGGTTGGTTGGGGTTGGTTGGGGTTGGTTGGGGTTGGTTGAAGCCGGGCTCTCACCATGCTGGTTATTAGGGTTGGAGTTTGAAGTTTGGGTGTGGCTCTGAGCATATGGCTCTGTTTCAACATAGGGAACCCCAAACAATTGTGGTATTCGGTTTGGTTTCCCTTCAAGACCACCAAAAGAGGTACCCTCAAAGAAAGACAGACCCATATCTTTCTCAGGTCTCTGCACGCCGCTGGGTCTTCCTATCGCTTTTCTGGGAAGCTCAATTGCCCGGGCAATTCGGCGAATGCAACACAACGAGAGCCCATGAATCAATGCATGCTCGGTTCTGTAGGGTATGGGTCAAACTTGCGCCACCGGGAATTTCACCGCAGGCTTCAGTCCTTGTTTCCATTTATCAGGGCTCCATTTTGTGAACCAATTTGGAAGTTATCCTTTCGCGCCCTGGTTTGGGATGAATTCCAAAAAGGGATTTTGTGATGGGTTACCTGGCCACGAAGGATGGTGTTCCAGTGTTTTTGACGGTACCATTCTGATTGTTTTGCTGCATAGGGGAAGCCAAAGGCTTATATGCTGGGACAGGTGGCTGCTTGCTTAAGCTACTTGTTTTTGGCCTTGTTTCATGGTGCCCTTGTATTCAAATAGTTATTCCTCACTTTTTTCTACGTCCCATCCGATCTGGGAGGTCTGATGTTCCCAATGTCTGAATCTTGCCTAAATCCCATGATGTGGCAAGTTTCAGGATTCATGTTTGCCCTTGTGGTGGGGTCCAGTCCACTGGAGAGGGAAAGGAGGTTATAACCTGGGACCACCCCCAGCCCAGCAAAATGATCCTGCTTGAAACCTAGTTGAGTTGGTTCAACATCCAAGTGGGCATGCCTTACAACATGCGACTTCTACCTCCCCCCTCAAACACCAAGAACAAAACAGAGAGACAAAAACATGGTTGTCCCCTTTTGAGTTCCCTTTGAACCCTCCCCCCCCCTCAAAAACAGAAAACAAAAGAAACGTGGTTCTCCCTTTTTGAATATCCCTTTAAACAAATTCCCCCAAATCCATGCTCCAGGCACGTCTCTTGGGGCCTTGAGCCCTGAGCCCACGGGCTGCAGGCACATCTTGGGGCCTAAACCTGGCCTCATTATTTTACCATGATCAAAGTGACCCCCCAAGTGATGGCTTGCAGGGAAACAACCGATTCCAATTTCTGACTTTGATAGCCCCCGAGAAACGGTCAACAAATCATGAGCCCAGCACCAAGCGAGTTCTGAGTTTCCTTCGGGATTAATTAGAGCCCTCAGGATCTCTCAGCGCGGATTCCCTCCCGTCGCTCGTTGGGTTGTTTTCGCCGCTCGAGAGGCCTAGCTAAACCTCGAGAGGCCGCTCGAGAGGCCATTCCATCCCGTCGTCCGCCTCCGCTCTTCGAGAGGCCTAGCTAAAGCTACGGCCTCGTCTCGGTAGGATGGCGACACGGCGGCCTTCCAACGCCGCCGCGCCACCGAGCTGAAGAACGGCCCCGGCGCCCAGCCGCCTTCGCCTTCGAACTCGCGGTCGTCGTCGGTCCTCGGCGGTCGGTGGTCGGCCGGGCAACTGGTGTGGTATTTTGTGGGTTTCCTGCCCAATGAAGCAAAGGCCGCTTTTTTTTGGCACTGTCTGGTTTTTAAAGGGAATGTATTTGCGACCAATTGGTATTACTACTCTTTTTTTTTGTTTTTTTTGGTTAGGGGTCGTTTTCGCAAATGGAGGGAAACTCCATACCATGTGGGGACCCAGTCCGCCCATTGGAGTTGGTCAAGTTGGGGATAGGCGACTTTAATTGGTGCGCCTTGCTTGGGTCAAGCCAACTTGGCTTTTGGTATCTAGAAGTAATTAATGGGATTTGTATTGGTGTCTAGAAGTATCTAGAAGTATCGATGAGTATCAAGAAGTATCAAAAAGGCCAACTTGGTATCTATCAAAATGTACATTGTGTTCTTTGTGATTTGTGTGAATTTGTTGGATTCTGTTTTTTTTTCTCCATGATTTGTAGGGGTTACTGATTCTTGTGGTTTGCGGTTTGTTTTGTGACTGGCAACGACCACAAACCGTGGGTGGCTGCATGAGTGCTTTCCTTGGCAGTTGCCACGGCAAGCTGGAGAGGATTGGCACTCGCAAACTGCAGTTGTGAAAACCAAGGTGGGAGTTCAGGCCACTCAGTGTCAGGCAACCCTTACTTGATTTCACGGTTTTTGATCTCCTGGTTCTTGTGGAGGGCAGATGGGAATCAATTCCCTAGCCACTCACTCTTTCAGCGGGAGCTGACGCTTTATGCAATGTCAAGCGAATCCTCTTTCGAGTCTGGTAAAGTGACCACACTGGAATCCCACTTCGGTTTTTCAGGAGGGTTGTTGGGATTCCATTAAACCCAGTAACAGTTACACATTTAGAAGGGGAACTCAGGTTTTGCAGAGTTGTTTTTCCCCCAACCATGTTCTAGAGGATGATTCTCTTTCCATTCTATTCACCGGTCATGTTCAACCACTGCCCTGCATTTGCTTAATAGTGTTGTTTGTGATTCTCCACTGTTGGTTTTCAAGTTGGAATCGATTTCACGCTCAACTTCCACAGGCTTTTGTTCTACCGCACAGGGATCTCCCCGTTTAAGCTCGGCGAAAGAAAAAGAAGCAACTGAAACTGGCCTGCACTCACCAATGAGCAAATGAGCAGCAGATTGTTGCAGCAGGGGGGTTTTGCTTGCTTCCTTCGTGCGAGGTATGTCTTTCAGGCTCGGCTTTGCATACGCCCTTTTCCCTGCAGCTTTTGTTCTTTGAAGCACGGGACCCGTGTGTTGCCAGAGTAGCTTTGGGTGCTTTGGGTGGCTTCCGAACAGGGTCGTGGGATCAGGGGGTTTACCCCCACTTCTGTGATACAAGGGAATCTCCCTCTTTTTTGGGGGGGGTTAGTCTTTGGGAAGCCCTTTCTGTTGTATCACAGAAGTGGGTTCCATTGCCCACAGAGCTTCCGAAGCACTGGGAGCAGCTTCTTCGGCTGAGGCCGGGTGGCGATGTTGGCCACCATGGGCTACATCACCCCGGAGTACGTTCGCTTCCCAGGCGCCCGGTCTTGGAGTCCACGGGCGATTTGCTTGTCTCGTTGGTTGATTTGAAAGTAAGGCATCCGGTGGTTTGTTTTATTTCCTAGTGTCTTTTTGTGTTGGTTGGTTGGTTGGTTGGCTGCTTGGTTGCTTGGTTGCTTGGTTGCTTGGTTGCTTGGTTGCTTGGTTGCTTGGTTGCTTGGTTGCTTGGTTGCTTGGTTGCTTGGTTGCTTGGTTGCTTGGTTGCTTGGTTGCTTGGTTGCTTGGTTGCTTGGTTGCTTGGTTGCTTGGTTGCTTGGTTGCTTGGTTGCTTGGTTGCTTGGTTGCTTGGTTGCTTGGTTGCTTGGTTGCTTGGTTGCTTGGTTGCTTGGTTGCTTGGTTGCTTGGTTGCTTGGTTGCTTGGTTGCTTGGTTGCTTGGTTGCTTGGTTGCTTGGTTGCTTGGTTGCTTGGTTGCTTGGTTGCTTGGTTGCTTGGTTGCTTGGTTGCTTGGTTGCTTGGTTGCTTGGTTGCTTGGTTGCTTGGTTGCTTGGTTGCTTGGTTGCTTGGTTGCTTGGTTGCTTGGTTGCTTGGTTGCTTGGTTGCTTGGTTGCTTGGTTGCTTGGTTGCTTGGTTGCTTGGTTGCTTGTTGTTGCTTGTGATGTGGTGCTTGGTGGCTTGGTTGCTTGGTTGCTTGGTTGGCTTGGTGGCTTGGTTGTTGCTTGGTTGCTTGGTTGCTTGGTTGCTTGGTTGCTTGGTTGCTTGGTTGCTTTGGTTTGCTTGGTTGCTTGGTTGCTTGGTTGCTTGGTGGCTTGGTGGCTTGGTGGCTTGGTTGCTTGGTTGCTTGGTTGCTTGGTTGCTTGGTTGCTTGGTTGCTTGGTTGCTTGGCTGCTTGGTTGCTTGGTTGCTTGGTTGCTTGGTTGCTTGGTTGCTTGGTTGCTTGGTTGCTTGGTTGCTTGGTTGCTTGGTTGCTTGGTTGCTTGGTTGCTTGGTTGGTTGGTTGGTTGGTTGGTTGGTTGGTTGGTTGGTTGGTTGGTTGCTTGGTTGCTTGGTTGCTTGGTTGCTTGGTTGCTTGGTTGCTTGGTTGCTTGGTTGCTTGGTTTGCTTGGTTGCTTGGTTGATTGCTTGGTTGCCGTTTGCCTGGTTGCCGGCTGCTTGCCGCTCGGTTGCTTGGCTGCTTGTCGTTTGCCGCTTGGCCGCTTGCCGCTTGCTGCTTGGCTGCTTCGGTCGTTTTTGGTCGCTTGCCGTTTGGGCTGCTCGGTTGCTTGGTCGCTTATTGCTTGCCGTTTGCTGTTTACGTTTGTCGCTTGGTCGCTTGTCGCCTATTGCTTGCCGTTTGGCCGCTTGGTTGCTTGGTTGCTTGCTGCTTATTGTTTTGCTGCTTGTTGCTTGGTTGCTTGCCGCTTGGTTGCTTGGTGGCTTGGGGTGGGTCTAGGGTGGCTTGCGGCTTGGTTGCTTGGTTGCTTGGTTGCTTGGTTGCTTGGTTGCTTGGTTGCTTGGTTGCTTGGTTGCTTGGTTGCTTGGTTGCTTGGTTGCTTGGTTGCTTGGTTGCTTGGTTGCTTGGTTGCTTGGTTGCTGGTTGCTGGTTGCTTGGTTGCTTGGTTGCTTTGTTGCTTGGTTGCTTGGTTGCTTGGTTGCTTGGTTGCTTGGTTGCTTGGTTGCTTGGTTGCTTGGTTGCTTGGTTGCTTGGTTGCTTGGTTGCTTGGTTGCTTGGTTGCTTGGTTGCTTGGTTGCTTGGTTGCTGGTTGCTGGTTGCTGGGTTGCTTGGTTGCTTGGTTGCTTGGTTGCGTGGTTGCTTGGTTGCTTGGTTGCTTGGTGGCTTGGTGGCTTGGTGGCTTGGTGGCTTGGTGGCTTGGTGGCTTGGTGGCTTGGTGGCTTGGTGGCTTGGTTGCTTGGTTGCTTGTGCTTGGTTGCTTGGTTGCTTGGTTGCTTGGTTGCTTGGTTGCTTGGTTGCTTGGTTGCTTGGTTGCTTGCTTGGTTGCTTGGTTGCTTGGTTGCTTGGTTGCTTGGTTGCTTGGTTGCTTGGTTGCTTGGTTGCTTGGTTGCTTGGTTGCTTGGTTGCTTGGTTGCTTGGTGGCTTGGTGGCTTGGTGGCTTGGTGGCTTGGTGGCTTTGGCTTGGTTGCTTGGTTGCTTGGCTTGGCTTGGCTTTGCTTGGTTGCTTGGTTGCTTGGTTGCTTGGTTGCTTGGTTGCTTGGTTGCTTGGTTGCTTGGTTGCTTGGTTGCTTGGGCTTGGTGGCTTGGTGGCTTGGTGGCTTGGTTGCTTGGTTGCTTGGTTGCTTGGTTGCTTGGTTGCTTGGTTGCTTGGTTGCTTGGTTGCTTGGTTGCTTGGTGGCTTGGTGGCTTGGTGGCTTGGTGGCTTGGTGGCTTGGTTGCTTGGTTGCTTGGTTGCTTGGTTGCTTGGTTGCTTGGTCGCTTGGTCGCTTGGTTGCTTGGTGGCTTGGTGGCTTGGTGGCTTGGTGGCTTGGTGGCTTGGTTGCTTGGTTGCTTGGTTGCTTGGTGGCTTGGTGGCTTGGTGGCTTGGTTGCTTGGTTGCTTGGTTGCTTGGTTGCTTGGTTGCTTGGTTGCTTGGTCGCTAGGTCGGTAGGTCGGATGGTTGGTTGGTTGGATGGTTGGTTGGTTGGATGGTTGGTTGGCTGGATGGTTGGTTGGTTGGATGGTTGGTAACCTCAAAACTAATCTATCACCCACGTCTTGTAAAGGATTCCCTCAGTCAACTTGCCAGAAACTGGCCACTTCCAGTTTGGGGTTTTCGAGTCTAAACAAGCTTTGCTCACATGTGCCTGCATAGAGGGAAATCATCATGATTCAAGTCACCGCTGTAGAGCAGCGTGACGAAAAAGGCAAACGGTAGCAGGAACCCAAATGGTTTCAGGAGCCCTTATTTGGTGGCTTGGATTGGTGGGTTGGGATTTTTATTTGTGGTTCTTGTAACCACCAAACCACCATTCCAAACCACCAACAAGGAGGAAGCTGACTCTTTCTTGACGCCCTTAGGGAAATCAAGTGCCCCCAAACCATTCCACAAACTCTGGGACGTCCAATACTTTCAACCACTGTGATTCCCTACTGAAGACCAGCAAGACGGGGCTCTTTCCAGGAAAATCAAGACTCAACTCAACCGCGTACCCCAAACCTCAAACCCCAACTTGTTTCAAACTGGTTTGGGTTGGTTTAAGGTTAGCTTGAAATTTAGGAATGCGCCCTCCTATATCCCTTATGGCTCCCTGATTCCAAGCACTTGATTCCTACCCCAAGGTTATTCCTTACTGAGAACCTTGCTTAAACTTCTGAGTTTGTTGGGAAGGACTGGCCACCCTTCACTACCCAATTGCAATCACCTCACCAAACTAATGGCCCCGAAAGTGACTCGGAGCCACTTGAAGTCATCAACTCACTTAAAGTGACCCGAACAAGTGACTTCCCAGTTGCAAAGTCCCGCCCCCCCCCCCCCCCCCCAGAAATGATAAACGCAAAGAGCGAGGAAACACAGTCAACAGCGGGAAAAAACCAACAAACACACACACAAGAAAAATGAAAACAAAACAAACAAAAACAACAAACACATATTTAGCATACGTTGTTGTTTGTCGTTTGTTTTGTTCTTTGTTTTCAAGAACACACCCACAGCAAGGCAGTGCGCGAAAGAAGCGCGGCCATGCGAGGCTTCTGCTCCCCGAGCGAAGGGGTGAAGTTCGCGGATGTGCCGAACGGCTTGGCGGCGCTGGGCAAGGCGTTAAGCACCCGACTGCTATTGGAGTCTAACACACGTGAATTGAGACCCAGGAGTTTGGCTTTGAAACACCCCACAAGCCACTTTCGTTCCAACATGGTTGTTGTTGGGAAACAACATATAGTTTTGTGGTTGAAATCCAGCCACTTAACTTGGCTGCTATTGGATTGGATCTTTAGACTTTAACTTTTTGGTTGAAATTGAGTTGGGTTTTCCACAAAACCCCCAAAAAGTTAGAACCTTTTTGCAGGGGGGTCAACAGCAACCAAGTTAGTAGGATACAATCATGGTACGGGCGGACTGACCCCAGTTGCCTCTCAATATCATTCTTCAACACTTTTCCAGGGGCTGACCCCCAGTTAGTACCATGGTTCTTGGTGGTTCCCAGCCATCCGGTTCCTTAGCTTTTTAGCTTGTTGGTGTTTAGTGGTTGAATTTCTACTTAAACCACACCATCCCTTAGCTTTTTTGCCTTTTGGTGTTTAGTGGGGATTTCCATTTAACCCACTATTTAGTCTTTAGTGGGGATTTCCATTTGAGCCACAATTCAAACCTGGGTAGATGAAGGTTAATAAGGGACAATCCCCTTGCCGCAAATAGCTGCGGATATCCGCCTTCTTTATTCTTGAAGCATAGTTCTGGGGATCGATCATTTTAATACCGGGTTTTGATTATGACGCACTTGGTGGTTCCCAGCCATCCGGTTCCTTAGCTACTTAGCCTTTTGGTGTTGAGTGGTTGGATTTCCATTTAACCCACTAAAAGATTAACTTTTAGAGGGGGATCTGAGGACAACCCAGAAAATAGAGAGCCGGTGTTGCTGGAAATGTGAACAATTTGCGGTGGAAGATCAACAACGCTTTGTTTTACAGTGTTTGTTGACCAAAACAATGCTGACGATTTGGAGCACAGGCAGAAAATCATATTTTGTTTTCACAGGTTTTTGCAAGCATTGGAGCTGTAAAAGTACATCGCTGTGAGCACTCCGTCTGAAAAATGCGGATCCCTGTGGCGTTCCCATTGGGAATGGCCCTAAAAATTGAAGTGGACCGGCGCAAAACTCCCAAGCTGACCCAGGCTTTTCGATTTGTGAAACACGGCTTTGCAACTTTGTTTTGGGATCCTTCGTGGGCCCTCCATAGGAGTTTAGAGAGATTATATGAGAGTCTCACTAAATTTCAACTTGGCTGGGAGTTTCCTGGAAGATAATATGGGTGTGGCTCAAAATTTAAGAGGTAGGGTTACGCAGGTTTTGGCTTTTGTTTCCATTTACCTAGAAACTATTTTGGGTACCTTTTTTTGAGCCACAGCCATATGAGAGTCCCACAGAATTTCATGACTTAGACATGAACGCAAAAAGTCATGACTCTGGCCATCCATAAACCGACAAGACGTCGGTCGCTGCTATCAAATGAAGTTCGTCAAACACTCCGATTCTGTGAATTTGGATTTCGGGAAGTGAATTTGGGGAAAGCACAGGCACAAAGACCACAACCAGGGGACAATTAGACAAAAAAACACTTTTGAGGCGGTATGGGCGGTATTGATCATGTGTGTTTGTTTAAAAAAGAGCGTTTCTCATTTATTGAGGTCTTCCACTGAATTATGTTCAGGGCTAGGCGGAATGTTTCTCTTGTCCATTCATGTCGACCCAGATTAATCAACCTAATTAATAAGTAGGGGGAGCGTTTCCCCACGAAAGAAATGGGATGCGTTTGCGAACATCCGGGACTCCCGTAAGGTTAGAATGTCCCCGGGAAATGTGCTTTGATTCCTTCCATTGAAAAGGACTGCTGTCGCCAGATTCTTGCTTTCGGCTCCTTCCATTTCCCTCAGTTTAGGGGTCTTACAGGAAAGCTACCAATTCGGGGGGTCCCTCATATTCATGTGGGTGTGTCTCATTTTAGGGACCCCCCCCCAAAGAAAGAAAAGAGTTTTTCCTTTTGGTATCCCTGGAAAACAGACCGCAAAGGGGGGTACCAACTCCAAAAAAGACGAGCGTCCCATGTGTGTTGCAAGTCTGTACCTCTTCACCTTGGTTCGACGATAGAAAAGCGGCGAGGTGCCGGCAGGCGGCTGGATGCAGATCTTGCTCTTTCTCGGCCTGGTGGAGAAGAGCCTCTACACCTACGACCCCACACGTGCGCCCGGAGACTTCAAGAACGCAGGCGCGAAAGGAACGCGAAAAGCCGCTGGCCTTGGTATATATTTCTATCTCACACCGTGAGTTCATGGACTTCCAGTCCGACTTCTCATGTCAGTGGCAACTAACATGTTCGGACTTGTTTCTGCCAGTCCACTCCGGAAGTAAGCTACATGTATGTATGCATATGTATAGATATGTTGTAGATGTATGCATAACCTACTAATATATATATACACACACATGGGGGTTGATCAAAAGGTCCTTGCAAGGAGTTATGTATTCGGTGACCATTCGTCTTGGCTTAAATCCCTCCGCGAAAGATCGGCGATGGAGTTCGCGAAAGAAACTTATTTTTTCGCGAAAGATTCCGCGTTGGATTTTTGGAGGCATGCCTGTGCACTTACATATTTGCAGACCCCGCTCCCTTGTAGAGGGAGATACGCAGCACCTACACTTGCATTATTGATTCCCTGCCTGTGTTAGGAATGGCGCAAATCAATAACGTTGGCTGGGCTATTTTGGAGCAAGTTTCGCGAAAGATCCGCGAAAGACCGGCGAAAGTCCAGGGAGCTTGTTGCAAGGTTCCGCACATCGCCGGCAAGCGCAAGTGGCAAGGGCGAATAACGGTGACTGCTTACACTTAACACTACGTACTGCACGCAGGTGAGCTGCGGCTATCCTGTGTGCAAGCATAACTGCAGCAGCCACAATGGCTCCAGAGCGCGCGCTGCAAACAAAAGGGCAAACAAAAGGGCTTGGCGATGGAGTCGCGAAAGATTCGCGAAAGAAACTTTTTTTCTCGGGAAGATGGCGTTTTCCGGAAACAGGAATATTGATCAACTGCCACATATATATACATATATATATATATATATATTATTGTTATCATTCTTATTATCATTATTATTTATTATTATGATTATTATTAGTAGTAGTATTAGTATTATTATTATTATAATTACACCCACACGATAAAGCAAATATCAAGTTGGAAGCCCTGTGCACAGGCCCCAATGGTGGTTCTGCGATTCACCGGCCAAAGATGCAAGTATTTGGAGAGTCAACCCTACCTTGTGTTCGAGATCTCGGGTCACTAAACCTCCCAATCCCATGCCATGGTTGGGATAAATGATGTTGCCGGTTGCCAAAAAGTAATCCAGGCTGGATCTGAATCGGGGCTGCTGTTCAACGGAAAGAAGCCCGTATAAAACATGTTGTTGAAGTTAAGTGCGGAGTGCCCCAGGGTGTTATTTATGTTTGATGGCCCAAGCCTGATGCATCCTGATGTTCATTGAGGGGGGTTGCATAGTACACCCTGTTTGTGTGTCTTGTGAGTGGTCCATGTTGAATTGACGTCTCGTTAAAACAAAATGATTGGGGAGATATCCAAAGAAATCCAGCCACCCCATGCAAAGAACACGCCATTTCCCCAATCAACGCTGCAAGCCCATCATCTAAAGGGTTCTTCCCAGATACAAATGGCTGTGGCTCACCAATATACAACACATTCCCAAACCGCTCTTTGTATAAGAAAGGCGACAACCTGTTTGAGCCACAAATCAAAAACACATATAAAAACCAAAAGAGAACGTTAACACATCTAGGGGTCCCATGTGAGCAACTGAAAGAACCGACACCACGGCCATCTCCGCAGCGGCAGCGTGCCGCCCACCCGGCCCACCCTTTTGCGAGCCCTTGATAGTTAAATTTGTGGGTGGTTAAAGCATTAGCATTCGATTGCCAATGTTGGTTGAGCCTTTCTTGGTGCGATGTTGGAGACATGTGCCATGGTCAAAGGACGGGTTTACTTGCAGTTTCCATGAACCGTAGAGGAAATGCAGACAGCTGCAATGGTTCTTAGGAAGCCGTGACCATGGCTGGCATTTTGCGGAGTGAAGGAATGATTCTTGAATTCGACGCCCCGACCAGATCACGATCAAGGTTGATTGATCTACGTTCCCATCACTTGCTGCGCGGGAATGACCCAGGGCTTGGGAATGAACCTAGGGATTGCCTGGTTTGTAGGGGTCATTCCCTCATTCCCTGCTGAGAACCGATTCCCCACATTCCGGAAATTTCTACGCTTGGAAGGAAGCGCCGTCCGTGTGCTCCGTGGGGACATGTGAAACCCCTACACCCTGGAAGGATCGGTCAGTTACCCTCACTTCCTGATGGTCTTTTGGCACACTCGTGTCATCCAGTTTGTGGATGATAGTAAGTATTTGCAGGGACACCTGGAGGAAAGGATCTAAAGATGCAAAAGGGTGGATTCCATGTCAGGAACATGCCTACACCCCATGCGAGGCACGTTCTTTCCGACTCGCGAGGTGAGCAATCAACTCCAGGTAGGTGCAAAGTAAGGACAATCCCCCTGCAAAACATTTTTGTGGTACTCTGCCCCTTGGTTCTTAAGTTCTTTTACAGGTCTTTACATGTCCTTGGACCACTTTCGTACCAGGTCTTGATTACTCATCTAACCCAAACACACCTTATTTGCAGTGGGTGAAATGTTAGTACACATGCCCCGCACCGGGGTGAATCAAAAGGTCCTTTACATGGGATGACCCTTAGAGAAACCCACCAGACAGATGCGACTTCTCCAAGGAGAAGTTTGCCATGGTGAGAACGGGAAGTGTTTGCCGGGGATATCTGGATGAAAATGTCCATTTCCCGCAGGTCTCGAGTCTGAAAGGAGGCCTGGCATTGACAATTGAAGCCCAGAGGTTTCCCATTGCCCCGCTTGCAGCGGCTATGTTTCCCAACCCCCACATGCAATGCGGCCCGTGCGGCCCGTGGGTCGCAGAGGACCCCACTCCACGTCACACTTAAGCAGCTGGGGTAGACTTAGGATACCTTTTTTACATTTTACCGACGCAAAGCGAAGCAAGCCATAAAATCCATCATTCTATAACTGGGCTATGACAAACGATGATAAGAGTCATCAACAATGATGATGATCATAACAATGATGAACACATGACTCATACCACTCTATAACTGGCTGCCGAGCTCTCGTGGCTCGAAGGCGTGCTGGGTGTGCCCAACGGCAGCACCATGGCCCCCGGGGAGAGCCGCAACCGCAAGCTGAACTCCGAGCTGGCGAACGGGCGCCTGGCGCCTTCGGCGGAAAAACAAAAACCGCCTGCGGGTGGTTGGACTGGATGCTTCAGGCAAATGGCCGTGGTGGTCGTTTTGAACCGTTTTGAAGGGGATCCCAAATTTTGGTTGGGATTGGTGAACTCACCGCCCATTTTGGGCTTCCTGGATTGGGATGTTCACTGCGGGGTTTTGACCCAGGGCCAAATGGCTGTGGTTGTCAAACACATGAGTTCCAAAATGGCATGGTAAATGGAACCGACAACCAAAACCTGCGTAACCCTAGCTCTTGGATTTCGAGCCACACCCAAATCAGCAAGTCGCTTAGTCGCTTATATCTCAGTTGTTCAAAGCGAATCGTCCTTTAAACGCCTTCTGGTTTTCCCTTTTTGGTCCATTTTCAGCCATGGCGCCAAAAGGTTAACCGATTAGTTCTGGGTCCTTCGGGCAAGTGAGTATAACCATGGTTAGGGACTAACACCAGTTGCCATGGTGATAACCCACTTCGAAGCTCACTTGCAACCAAATCGAATCGACAGGATGTGAGCTTTTTGGCAAAAGTTTTTAGTCGCTCACCTCCTGAGTTCCTGGACGTTAGTCACTTTTTGGGTTTGGACCATTTCGGTAAATAGAAAGATTGGTTACTTGTTTGGGCCAATTCATTCGATCGGAAGTGAGGTTATGACCCCCAAGTATGATCACTTTTTATGAACGTGGGTCCCTAAGGGCAACTGTGTCGTTCTTTGGGCCGGAGCTGGAACATCGATCCAAGGTATCTCAGGGTCAGAACTTTGGCCGCCCTCCTTCGAACGAAAAGTCGGGCCTAGGGGTTTGCGGGTCATTCCATGTGGCCATGAGCCCAGGGAGCACCCCAAGCATGGAGTGGAGCAACCAGAGAGGCGTCCAGGGGGTTCCTCTGTGGAAAAATCCACCTTGGCTTACACCGATTCCATGGAAGCTCCCCCAATTGGCCGATCCTGTAAATGGAACCAAGTCTTCCAACGGGGTCCTGGGAGTTTCCATGTTAGCGTGGGGGAGGGTATTTCCTCATTCCGCTTTGCTGAAAGCTTTGGGGTCGGCGCAGAGAGGCTTTGGAGTTTGGCCTTGTGGCTCCCGGCGGAAAGGTTCCGGAGAGATTGCTGTAAGGGTGGCAACGTTGGGGAGGACACCTATGTCCTAGTTTTCTCGGATCATTGCTTCTTTTGACAAACACAAAAGAATCAACTCCCACAAACGGGCGGGTTTGCGAAACGAAACCTCGGGTTGCGATCATGCAGGAGTTTTGACAGTTGACCTTTCTTGTCAGTCGAGTTGAATCCCCTTAAGAGAGAAGCCTCGTCGAAGGGGGCTTTGAATGGCCAACCTTTGCCGAAAGTCGCAGGTCGTTTACCGAAAGCCTCGGAAGAAGGATACCAGGGCCCATGTTTGGGCCCATGTAAAGAGCACTCCATGAAAGCAATCCGACCGAACATGACAGCCTTTGTTGCAGGTAAGGGGCCGAGTTTTCGTTTGCGTGTCGTGCACACTACCCTGAAGGTTTCTATTTGGCCTTATTTGAGCGACTTTCAACGCAACTTGTTTGCTTGGAGTTAGAATGAGTGTCAGCATCCTTCGGTTAGGAATGCCGACAGCCATTACAAGGGTACCCACTCACAAATACCTGACACTGGCCCACATAAGAAGGAGCTTGGGCCATTGCACATTTGGCCCAAAAAGGCTTATTAAGCCCTTCCGTTGGGAGAGTGACATTTTTTGGTGTTAAAGACAAGCAGCTCCAGCTCTACGAATCCACCAGGTTGAAAAATCCGGGTCGACAAATGTCTATAACGAACGGTTCATAGGTCACCACCTCAAAAGTGGCACGATGTCCACGATGTCCGCGGCATTTCAGGCACACCCCCCAAATTGAGTCACGCCCAAATTGAGCCACAAATAAAACCATAGATGAAGGTTAGAACTTGACCAGGGCTCCTCAAAAGATACATTTTGCCCATTTAAAACACGGCTTTTGCCACCAACATAAAGGGAAACCACCATTTACAAGGCAATGTTCAGGTGTATAATGTAAGGATCCCTGTAAAACCATAGATGAAGGTTAGAACTTGACCATCCCAATAAATGGGTGACTTCGCCGCCTCGCAAGACTCTTTGGTTACAAAGCTCGGGGGCTTCAAGACCATTTTAGTCCCGGTCAGTGTTGATTTCCCGACCCAAGACGCGACGCAAAAAAGAGAAAAATAAGAGAACGAGGCCATGATGGCCATCATGGGCATGTTCTTCCAGGCGCGGCTCGCTGCGAGGTTCGTCACACTGAGCGCCACAAGATCAGAGATTTCTCCATTATAGGGGTTTGCAGGGTTCCATGTTTGTTTTTGGAGCATTAATCAAGGCAGACTTAAATCCAGGGGTTCCGTTTCCTTGCTTTTCAAGGCAGACTTCCGCCTAGGGATTCCCCTTTTGGGGCACATCAGCCACGTTTTTTTAAGTCTGCCTCGATCCAAAAACGGAGCCGAGTTCTCGAAAGCGCTTCGACTTGTTGAGGTCCCACGACTCTTTGGGCTGGACAAATGATTCGCTCACCGATGATTCGCTCGGGGTCTTCCTGATTTTGGTGCTGTTCTCAGTGTTTTAAGCGGAGCCAAGCAGAAACTTGTGCAGACCTGATGTCATCTTGTGCCTCAATTTCCCCTTTCTCACTCTCTGATTCTGAGTAGAAATGTCGCCGAACCAAACGAAGCTTGCGATTCTCCAGCAAATACTCACAAGTGGAAAGAGCTAAAGCCACACCGCGCCCGTCCGTCATACGCGTCCGTTTGCAAAAAAAGATGACACTGGCAAATCTCTCAAATGGAGTCTGACAAAGAGATAGGCCGTTTGGGAAATTCGATGGCGGGTAAATGGAAGTAAAAAAAACCCATGTATAATTCCGAGTGGATGAACTTCGCTCGATGATGGAGCCCGAGCTCGATTGGAACTCATGTTCCACCAGCATGATCTACGTAATTACAAGAACCTTCGATTCAGCACGTGTTGGTCGCGAAGTTGGTGGAGAGACTCAATGAGGACATACATGGGTGTGACTTGTGTTGAGGGTACCCTTTTTTGGGTGGTTTGAAACAGAAACCCAAAGCAAAGACGCAATTTTGTGGGTCCCTTCATAGACACGTCCTAGACACGTGGCCGCGTTTGGACTCTTGGCCGATCTCGTTCGGGGGTTTTAGTCACCTCGGCCACTTTACCTTTGTTCCATTTGGCCAAGGGATGTTAGGACTGGATTTTTCTTTTGCCAACTGATGGGTTTTCCGAATTGAACCACTAAACGTGATTCACTTTTAGCAGGGCTTAGCAGAGTTCGCAACCGAGTTACAATGAGTTTCCTTGTGGGGTGATTGAAGGGATATAGCCTGTTGGAACGTAGCCTGTAGGACAGGCTCCGGAAAAACACCCCCTTCCCCAATGCCATGAGTTTTGAGAGCTGTTCCAGCATCGGGATTGGACACAACTCCCTCGCCCCCAACTGAGCCACAATCAAACCCGGGCAAAAGAAGGCTAGGCAGAGATAGATTTGTTTTTGTACCAATCGGTTTTTATTGTGACTCAAATGATGTCCACCGTTGCAGGTTCCCAGTTGAACCCCGGCAATCCCGGGAAGGTGAGTACCCAACTAGAATTAGGTGCGGCCGCCTTTGTAGTTCTTTTGTTGGTTTGGGCAGACCATGTTGGTACATTTGGTTCATATATAATATTCTTGCATTGGTTTGTTAAATAAAAACCATCAAACAAACATGGTTTTGCTGGTGACTGAGTTAAACCTACTAGGACGGCCTCACCGGATCCGCCTGGGGCGACTGGGCCAATTACGTGGACTCGCCTCTCCGCGCCTTCGAGAACGAGCTGGGCGTGCAGGCCGCATCGCGTTGGTCGCGTTGGTCGTGGTTTGTCTTCCTTGCCATGTGCGCCACTGGCTCAAAATCGATTCGGGTAGCTGAAGGTAAGGGACAATCAGACAATCCCCTTGCCAGAAATAGCTGCAGGGATCCGCCTTCTTACTTCTTTACATGGTTGTGGGTCGACCATTTTAATACCGGGTTTCGATCCTGATTCATGTGGTACGTGTCATCTTTTTTGCGGTTTCCCCCCGTGGTCATTCCATGTAAAGGACCTTTTTGATCAATCCCCTCTCGGGCAACATCCATGGGAGCTAACCCCTCAGCTGGACCCGAAGTACTTAAGTTGTTGAGCATCCAATTGGAGCGAGTTGGCTGACAGATTTTGGGAATTTGGGGGCCCCTTGTATCTCAGAGGAACCTGCTGTTTGATCCGTCCCTCCTGATTGCGAGAGGCTTGATCGACTGCCGTTTCTAAACGACTCAATCGTTGACTTGACAGGTTGCTTTTCTTTTGGTTGGTATTTCACTTCAGTGACTCCGTCCTTGAAATCGAAGACACACATGGCAGGGCCTTTACTCTCAGTGCAGGCAACCGGGAGCTTCTTCATTTGGTTTGTATATCTTGGATTACTTTCACGGCCCAAAAAGCTCAAACTTGCGGTGACTTCAGTGAAAACACATTCCTCCAATCTTGGGGACACACATGGCAGAGGGAGGTACCACTGGTGACAAGAAGGGCTTTGTGACAGCCACCCTTCCCGTTGTATCGCGGCAGCTGGATGCATACTCGCACCAAAGAGTGGTGAAATTAGATTACACGCTCATCGAGCGGGCAAAGTGCTCTGACACCTTCAGCCCAGCCGTGGAACGACAGTTTGAGTCCTGAGTGAAGGCTGGGATGAGCAGCATTTGTGTAGATACCTCAATCATTTGCATTGGGTTATATATATATATATAAACATATATCTACATACCAAGTTTAATAAACCCCATTCAATCCAAAAAACAGTCAAGGCCATTTATGCAGTATTTGGCTAGTCAACTCAGCAGATCAGAAGATGAACAAGCCACGTTTGAGTAGAACATCGGTGACGTGTTCGTTGGCCCAATAAGCCAGGGGCCAATTTTTGACCCTTCTGATTCGGTCTTCGCAAAATCCTGGAGAACCATGCTACCTCCCACCTTGATGAGCAACATGTTTGTTGCAGCCACCAAACATGACGCACTACCTGAGTTCATGGACTTTAGTCACTGTTTGGGCTTGGAGCATTTTAGTGGTATATAAGAAACAGTGGGGAGCTGTTTCTGTTGCCAAGCCACTCGATCGGTCTGAAACTTTGGTGCATTTTGCTTGGATGTTAGGACTTTAACTTTTTGCCAACTGGCGGGTTTTCCATCAAACATCATCAAACCACTAAACGTTATTCACTTTTAGCAGGGGAGCAGAAAGCAACCGAGGAACCGCTTAGCACTTCCAAGGAACAGTGCGGGTTGAGTGGGCGCCCGCCTGAAAGTGTTTTGACTCTTTATATAGGGGACTGAATGAAATTATCCCATCCATCCATCCGTCCATCCGTCCATCCATCCATCCAATGATCTTGCATTGGTCTACAATCTTCCAACCATGAGCATTGGCAAGCTTGAAACTTGGCGATCATTGTGGCCTCAAAAGGTCTATCGCGTGCGCTGTATGTTTATGTGTTTAGATACATTGACATATATTCATGTGTTGATTTATGTATGTATGTTGTTTTTTCCCTTTTGGGGTGGAAGGGGCGCCGGGGGGGGGGGGGGCAGCAGTAGAAATTAGGTGGGCCTTGGCAACTGATTTGCAAGCATGCCGTGAACAAATCTCGTCTCACCATGCTGACTTGGCCAGAAGGGGTCCCAGGCCTCCAGTGGGGTTGATGTCTTTTTTCCTTTTTGGGACGGGGGGTCCTTAAAAAAGGAACATATTAAAAGAATAAAACATATGGACAAAACACGGACGAAGCCGGCAAGTCCATTTTTTGTTTAGAAACAAACAAGAACGGGGAAACAAAAAGCGACAGAAAGACGGACGAACCAGACTACCAGAATGGTTGTTTTTGTCCCCATGGCCACTGGGGCCTGGGAAAAAAAGGCCTTTCCGCACGGTGGCTAGATATGTTTTTCATAGGCCTTGATATTACCACAAGAACCCCAAGCCCATTTGGGTGTGGGTCAATATTAAACCAGGAATTGGACCGCAGCTTGAATCGTCCATGTTTCCATTTACCGATCGGGCGCTTGCCAATTTTGGGGTCACCCTATTTTTGACCACCAGAGCCATTTGGTTCCCATCAAGCGCAAGCGACCCTTTTCGGCGCTGTTCTGAAAATCCGAACTCCGGGCGCCAGGCGCCCGTGGGCTACTTCGACCCTCTGGGCATGTCGAAGGATGGTGACGTCACCGCCTTCAAAAGGTGGGGGAAGAATCGGTGGGTGGGGGAAGATGGGTGGACCCTGAAGCCTCACTCCCTTTTTGTCCCTTTCGAGCTTTGGCCACTTCTTTGGGTTAGCCACTTCTAGTGACTCCCTGAAATCTGTTTCGAGCTTTGGCCACTTCTTTGGGTTAGCCACTTCTAGTGACTCCCTGAAATCTGTTTCGAGCTTTGGCCACTTCTTTGGGTTAGCCACTTCTAGTGACTCCCTGAAATCTGTTTCGAGCTTTGGCCACTTCTTTGGGTTAGCCACTTCTAGTGACTCCCTGAAATCTGTTTCGAGCTTTGGCCACTTCTTTGGGTTAGCCACTTCTAGTGACTCCCTGAAATCTGTTTCGAGCTTTGGCCACTTCTTTGGGTTAGCCACTTCTAGTGACTCCCTGAAATCTGTTTCGAGCTTTGGCCACTTCTTTGGGTTAGCCACTTCTAGTGACTCCCTGAAATCTGTTTCGAGCTTTGGCCACTTTGGGTTAGCCACTTCTAGCTGGCAAGCAACTTAAGTTTTTTAAACTTCGCCTGAAACGAGACCCGTTTCGATTTCTGTCCGCCAACTCCGTCTGCCAACTTCGGCCGTGGCCCAGAAATCGGCTCGGCTTGAAATCGGAGTCCGGTTTTTTTGGGGGGAGAAGCTCTCGCTTCCTGGGCGGGGCTTGTAAGACTTGGTGGGATTTGGACCATGTTAGTGGCAAAGAACAAGCTGATCTTTTGGCCGATCCACTGGATCGGAAGTAAGTCGGGACTGTTTGGTTTACCATTTCACTGGCGAACAGCAAGTTGTTACTTGTCCTTTAGCTAAAACGGGAGGGGGAGTACAGCTAAAACGGGCGTGTCCGGCATTTCGTCCGCATCCTTCGGCTACTCCTCCGGGGTAGCCCCAAAAGCCGCTTTGTCCTCCCGAGCCCTTTGGCTGTTGTGGACTGGTTGCAAAGATGGCGAGGACTTTGCTGGTGCGATAGGTAGGGACTGACCGAGTGGGGGTTTTCGGAATGAACCGGACGGGGTTTCCCTCAAAGGACACCAGAGCGCCATAGGGGATGGTTTCTGTTCGGGGGCATTCCCTCATTCCCTGAATCTGAGAAAGCAAAATTAATAGGGAAGGAACCACCTCAAAAGTGGTTAGTGGACATTGACATGATTCTGGCAGGTTAAGCTTTTTGAAGAACATGGTGCCCGCACCCCAACAACTAGGTCCCCCAGCTAGGTGCCCTTGTACCGTTTCTTTTTTGGGGGAGGGTTCCCCTACTAAAATAGACTGCAGAGAAAAGTTGGTACCCTTATTCTAACCTCTCTACTGGAGGACCTAGACAAGGTTTACTAGAAGGGGCTGCGATCCAAGGGTTTTGGGACGTCATAGCGATGGCGGCTTGTGGCTTGAATTTTCACGGCAGTGGCAATGATGCGGAAGCATTTGGGGTAGGGGGGGCAACATCTATCCCTACATGACCACGGGTTGATCAACCTGCTATCACTTTGGCAATCACTTTGAATGAGGCCATTCAGAGAGGTTTCGACCTGGGGCCAGGCCCAGTTTTCCACAAACAACCAGGTGTTACCCCAATATTCCAAGCCCCTCTTGGGGAGCAAGTCTTGATGTGAAAAGACCATCGTGTCTCGGCACTTCGGACTGCTTGGCGTTTGGGTCCTTTGGAGTTGCCCCAAACCCCAAAGCAATGAACATCAATGTGTTGCCCATTGTTACTAGGTCCCCCAGTAGTGCCCTTGTACCGTTTCTTTTTTGGGGGGAGGGTTCAAACCTACTAAAATCGACGTCCTGAAAAAAGTTGGTACCCTTCTCACCTCTGTACTGGAGGACCTAGCAGGGGTCCTTTTAACCACAGCCCTGGGGGCTGTTCTCTGAGAGGCGCCGGGAGAGCGAGCTGAAGAACGGGCGCGTGGCCATGTTCGCTGCCATGGGCTGTGTCTCGGACATCACGCATGGGACGGGTTTGGGGCAATTCGAAATTCGAGGGGCGCAGCGGGCCGTGGCAGACCTCAACTTGGAGAACTTGGAAAGGTTATAAGGATCTCGGTGTTTGAGCTGCTATCGCATTGCGCCTGACAGCAGCATATCAGGCCAGAGGCCTAAGGCGCCTGCCTTTCCGCTGGGAACGGTTATGAACAAGGTGATGGCTGGGGTAGCTGGGGCTAGTCCCTGTGTAGCCGTGGTTATAGCCCACTTGCTAAGTTGAGCATCCAAATAATGCCGACCCCGGATGAGAATCAAAGTGCCCTGAGCGGAGCCGCAGAGTTGCTATTGGAAGGGTCTTCATCTCCATTGAAAGGTTGCAGAGTTCAGTCCTGATTCTCAGGGTGGCAGATTTTGGGAGGTAACCCGGGTCCTATATTAAGACGTGAGACTACGGGTCCCATTAAGGAATGGATCAAGGATTTAGAACGAGCACTTGGTTGCTCTCTGTTGATCGAAGCAAGCGTTCAATCTTTGCTCTTTGGTTGCCCACAACCCTGCAAAGGGTGCTTTCCAGCCACGAATCAACAAACATAGTGTTCTTCGACCACAAATACCAGTGCAACCGTTAACTAGACCAACGCGGTACAGCCTTGTGTCAGACTGGAGAACATACCAAGGGACTCCCCCCTTGACAGTGATCAAGTCGATATAGTGACGGTTTGGTATCGCAGAAAGGCAGAACCTACAGCCATGCTAGCCGATGACGAACAAAGAGAGGGATATGAGAGTGTGGGAATGAAAAGAAGGATTTCTTTCTACCTCCAACCGCTTCCTTCGGTTTCCACTCTCTTTCATATCCTTCATCATACCTTTATTTCTGAAATTTTGCGAGTAGACGGATGTGACTCCATGGGTCAAAACCCCGTACCCCCAGTCAAAATCCCCACTAAAATAGACTAAAATGGGTGGTGCACCTACCCAAAAATGGTACCATCGGTTTTGACCCACAGCCATGTCTTCAGAGACAGCGCAGGGTTGAGCCTCCGCGCGCCGAGTCATTACCCCGGAGTACTTCCGCTTCCCGGGATATTTGTCGCCGGCGCCTGAGAGTCAGGATGGCGCTCTGAAATCCGCCTTCAACAATCCGGGCCAGGGTTGTGGTTGATCACTCGGGGTTTATCCAACCACTTCTGTGATACTTTCAGGAATCTCCCCCTTTAACTGGGGGGTTAGTCTTTGGGAAGCCCTTTCTGCTGTGTCGAAGTGGTCATTTCCCACAGCCCCGATCCGGGCTCGAAGTGGGTCTGTCAACTTTTTGGGGGAACCGTGTGTTGGTTGGGTTTGAAGGCAAACCAAAAGGAAGCCTATGAATGGGTAGGGAGACCAAAAGCAAACCTATGAATGGGTGTGTCCTTTGATTGGCAGGGGCACCTTTTGGGTTTGATGTACTAGAGGGAACCCACCATATTCCCCCTAATTTTGAGACAACCAACAAATCCACCAGGTTCCACCTGCAATGCGGTCGGCATAGCGACCAGATTTCTACCCCCTCAGCCACTGGGGGAACGGCAACTGGCGATGGGTTGCTGGTTCTTGCGCTTGGTCCGGGCTCATAATCCCAGCGATGCTGCCAGTTGCCCAGCGGATTTCGCTCATGGTTTCCAACTTTTTGGGTGGCTTACTCACTAGACATGGGATCACCCCACACAACCACACAAATGCCCCTTTTTTCATTCGAACGAAATGGTCACTGGTTGAAACTGTATGTTGGGACTCGGTTGTCATCGTGAGACTTTTAGGACCTGTTTTTGTTCTTCTTTCAATCAATTCCAGGTCCCCCTGTAGTGCCCTTGTACCCTTTTTTTGGGGAGGGTTCCCCTACTAAAAAAGACCACAGAGAAAAAAAAGGTACGCTTATTCTAACCTCTCTACTGGAGGACCTACCTGGAAAGCCAAGTATACACTTTTAAATGTGAACTGATCACTGTGACCGAATTTCAGTCACTTTCAGGAAAGTGGCGGTTTTCCCAACCCAAGTTTGGCTCAAGCGGCAAATTGTTTTCTCCACATCGCCAAATCGGTCCGGTTCGGAACTCGCTACCATCGCGTGGCCACGCACACCAAATAGCGCTGCAAAGTCCGTGACTCTATTAGTCTAGGCGACACCGACCTTGTCAATGTTGAGACTTTCCCAACAAAATCTTCATCCATTTGCACCGAATGTGCAATCGGATTGACTGTCTCATGATCCCCCACCCCTCCACGCTGTAAGGAGTGGATAAGGTGGGCAAGCATATGAAACTTAGGATTAATTTTGTAGCGTGTCCACTTGCGAGCAAAAGCGTAGCTTGCGCAGCGGCTGTACAAGAAGAGAAGTTTCTTGCCATGAGCGGCGATCCTGGCAGCGTCTGAAGGCTTTAGCCAAAAGGGTTGCCAGTACAGCTCAGCCATGAACAGGTTTCCCTCCTGTAGAGCATCAGTGATCCATTGCAAGTAGTCTTCGTGCTCATCATCGTAATCAGCCAGCGCCCGCTCACAACGCCACTGCAAGAAACTTGTGAGTACCGTGGTGTCAGCGCCTTTGAACCAATTCCTCAGCACCAAAATTGCCCGAAACACGAAAGAACACTCAAACACAAAGCCTAAAACTTTCAACAAAATTTGCACATGCAGTGAAAAGGGTCCCAGTTGGATAGTCCGATGAACGTTTCCAGCCAACAAGGATGGTGCTCAGGTTAGACATGTGCAGCTGCTTGCCACGCGCACCGCACCAGACTACCAGATCACTGTACACAGCGTCCAAGCGCTTCGCCACGCTTCCCTCACCGTAGATCCGCAGCTCTTCGATCAAAGTCACCTGGGCCGGGGCAATGGTGCCCAAAATTGGACCCCGTAAAAACGAAACATCCCGCACCAATTGAAGCTATATATACACAAGTGGCTATTGTGCTGGCTGCCAGATCTGCCAACACCCCTTTATGCATTGTGTGGAAGAGATCGATCTTGAAAAAGTCAGCACTGTCCGTTTCATCATGCGGGATCTTCATCAAAGGTGAAGGAGTAGTCCAAGGAAGAGGCGCCGTGTCCATTGTGTCCAGCCAAGCTGCAGAGTCATCCCACTCGTGCCAGGCATAGCCAGTTTGGCCTGCAAGGCACAAGTGGCAAATCCCTGCTGGGTTGTTGCTCCCAGGAGCGTCTCTCAGATGATGTCGATTCAAACGCCCGCATTTCGTCAATGCTGGCCAGTCGCCCTTTAGCCCCAGAATGCAGAGATGCAAATTGGTACGCTGATCATTGATGACCACCTCTATGCCATTCTCAAACGCATTTGTACAGCTGTCTGCAAAGTGACTCAACAAAGCATAGAGCGGCGCCTTGTTTCTCGCATAGGTTTTCGTCATCATCACGCTAAAGAGGATGCGCGTGAGGAACGTGTCACCTGAGAAGTTTACATCGGCGGATCTGCGACTGCCGGCCCCAAGAGCCGATTGCAGCGACAGCACAAGAACACCCCGTTTCTTGATAGACGTACCCTCGTCTGCGTGAAGGAAACAAGGCACACACCGGCTGAGGCACATGTTCTTCTTGAAACACGGGTGCTCTGGGCGAATGCGCTGATACTTATGCCAGAACGATTGGTAGCTCTCCAACGTTTGGCCTTGCATCAACACCTGCAGCTGTCCAGCCCTTGACAGGGCCTGTATATACTCTGAAACCCCAAGGGTGGGATGGAGTTGCGCCAGCCCAATATCAACATCGGACACTTCGCAATCAACCTGTAGCCCGTAGTCCACAAACAGCGATGGCAAGCGGTTCGGATGTCCTGTTTGGTGCAAATTTGCCATAGACCGAACCAGTTGACCACTGGGCATAGTTTGTGCGTCCCCAACAGTCGCTGCTTCATCGTAGAATGCATGCGCCAACTGGCAAGCCGCCGCTTCGCTCACCTAAATTGTTCAGTCATGCATGAACTTAATTGAACCAGAAGGGGGCGAACACCGACACCAAAAGTATAAGAAATGGATGCACTTTCTTCCAAGGCACACCACCTCCCACTGCGCGAGCAATGGCTCTACCCAAAGGCCCACACGCGCGGCTTCGCTTCTGCACCTGCTCGCTGAAGGAGGCACCTGCGAAGGGCCGCGGATTGCTGGCTCGACTCCAAGAAACATGCATGCCTGTACCATGCAAAAAGGACATCTGCAATCTGCGATGAGCATCAAGCCGCAACCATGCACCGGACAGACAACCCTTTTCCGATCGTTTCCCCTTGCAGAGATTTTCTGCTCCGCCAGATTCAGCCGTATCGGCCAAACTAAACCCCACACATTGGAATGCACAAGCCCAGCATACCTAGATAGCCAAGTTGCTGTTTGTTTCAGTCACTGTTGCTGGTTTTTTGGGGTAAAGTGCATGGAAAAAGCAGCAACTTGCGATCCAGGTAATCTTACTCTTGCAATCTGTACTCACTGGCCAGTGCATGCGTGCGTCCAGGCCATGTGCATTCCTATGCAAGCCCGAATCCACGCAGAATGGTTGCCATTCCGCCATTCATCTCAGACGACCTGCGCCGGGGACGGTTGGCATCAAATGGGAGGGAAAGGGAAGGGCAAGCAGGCCTCTAGTCACGCTTGGTCTTACCCTTAACCTTCTTTGCCTTCGCTTTCGTCTCCTTCGATTTCTCCGTTTTCTCCTTTTTCTTCTCCTTCTTTTTCTCACAGTTTTCGCCTTTCCCACCTTTGGGTGTCTCCGCGGGCACATCGCTATCGGTCACTGCCCGCTTCACGTTCTTCAGAATTGTCCTTTGCAAATTTTACGCTGCATGTCGCACTATAGCCCGTAAAAGGAAAACAGATGCAACTCGGGCACTTCTTCAACTTGTTCTCCTCTATCTGCGCCCGGGATGCCCTGGCCATATATGAAACGCGCGCGCAGATTCGCACAACATGTTGCTGAGCCTCACTTCCACAGCGCGTATTGCTTCGACCATCTGAGCTGTTTTCCTCAACCACCGGGCATGCAAGAGCTGAAGCGAAAAGAGTCACCCAAGATTGGGAACACATCTGCAGCAAGTCTAGCCAAGCATCTGCTCCGGGAGCTTGCCACGAGTGTCAAGCTCTGCCTTGTAATTCGCCAAGTCATCATGCCCACTCATGAGGGCTGCAATGTGCACGTTGAGGCCCTTCAGAGCCCTCAATTGAATCGGCCAACCCAAGCCCGGGCCCACAATCGTAACGAGAAAGCCGCTCCGAATTGATACTTTTCCGTCATGCATGCATGAACTCGCAATGAAGCAGCTTCGGCTTTAATGTCAGCCAAAAGTCGATGCGGCAGCATCCGTGTTCATCATCTCCAGCTTGCTCGCCGTCAGCTCCAACTTCGCCTGGCACTTGAGGAGCTGGTTCATCACCTCGCTGATGGACTCCGCAGCCTGCGCAATTTTGGACGCGTGCATGGTGCCTAATGGAACACCCAAAGATGCCTCCATGATGCGCTCTTCCTCAACCTCATCCTTCTTTTGCTTTTTGTGGCCAGACCTGTGCTTCTTCCCTTTCTTGGGGGACCCCTCACTGCCAGAGTCACTGCAGGTCTCCCTGTGACTGCCATCAAGGAGGACCCCTTCCGGCTCCGGTGCGGCCAAGTCAACTGAGCCAACACGATCTCGACTGATCTGCGTCTCCTCCCTGAGAGTTTTCTCATTGATCTGCTCGTAGGTGGCTGCCTCGTGCTCCGTGATGAGATACTCGTTCATGTTCTTCTCGTATCGATCTTTCCTAGGCCGAAGAGACAATTCACTGCATGCACAAAGAGGAAAAAGTGAAATACGAACCGCTATCTGGGAGGGGTTTGTGAGTGATAAGGAATCTCAAACCGGGTTCGTCACTCGGACCCATGCAATAGCCCAAGGGACCGAACATGCTTCTTCCTTCGCGAGGCAGCACTGCAGTACGCCACAGCGGCCTTGATGCGTGACCTTGTCAAAAAGGGTGGGCCATGGAAACCAATAAGGATCTGCATGCCCCCGAAGGAAAATTGAATGGATGCAACTTAGATCCCCACTTGGACCATCCCAGGACCTTGTCCATTTTCTCTTT